GTCTCTCTGGTCTCTCTCTGGTCTCTCTCTGGTCTCTCTCTGGTCTCTCTCTGGTCTCTCTCTGGTCTCTCTCTGGTGTCTCTCTGGTGTCTCTCTGGTCTCTCTCTGGTCTCTCTCTGGTCTCTCTCTCTGGGTCTCTCTCTCTCTCTCTGTCTCTCTCTGGTCTCTCTCTGGTCTCTCTCTCTGGTCTCTCTCTGGTCCCTCTCTCTCTCTGGTCTCTCTCTGGTCTTATACCATGTGTATTTAAATTTACACACTGACATGGTAGTCACAAACCCTCAAGCTGTTGATAAAAGAGGACACAGAAAATTAATGCTAATTTAGTGTGTGTCGGTGTGTGTGTGTGTGTGTGTCTGTGTGTGTGTCGGTGTATGTGTCGGTGTGTGTGTGTCGTGTGTGTGTGTCTGTGTGTGTGTGTCGTGTGTGTGTGTCGGTGTGTGTGTCGGTGTGTGTGTGTCGTGTGTGTGTGTCTGTGTGTGTGTGTCGTGTGTGTGTGTCTTTGTCTGTGTGTCGTGTATATGTGTCGTGTGTGTGTGTCGGTGTGTGTGTCGGTGTGTGTGAGTCGTGTGTGTGTGTCTGTGTGTGTGTGTCGTGTGTATGTGTCGGTGTGTGTGTGTGTGTGTGTCGTGTGTGTGTGTCTGTGTGTGTGTGTCGTGTGTATGTGTCGGTGTGTGTGTCGTGTGTGTGTGTCGGTGTGTGTGTCGGTGTGTGTGTGTGTGTCGTGTGTGTGTGTGTGTGTGTCTCCTGCTGTGAGCCCGCAGCACTGATCCTCTTTCAGATTTTTCCAGAATCATCTCTGAAACAGATCTGAACATTCAGCCACAAACTGTTCTCATCTATTGCCGCTTTTCCACTGTAACGGCACGGCAGGGTACGGCACAGCACGGCAGGGTACGGCACAGCACGGCAGGGTACGGCAGGGTACCGCACGGTACGGCAGGGTACGGCAGGTACGGCAGGGTACGGCAGGGTACGGCAGGGTACGGCAGGGTACGGCAGGGTACGGCACGGTACGGCAGGGTACGGCAGGGTACCGCACGGTACGGCAGGGTACGGCAGGGTACGGCAGGGTACGGCAGGGTACGGCAGGGTACGGCAGGGTACGGCACGGTACGGCAGGGTACGGCAGGGTACCGCACGGTACGGCAGGGTACGGCAGGGTACGGCAGGGTACCGCAGGGTACGGCACGGTACGGCAGGGTACGGCACGGTACGGCAGGGTACGGCAGGGTACGGCAGGGTACGACAGGGTACGGCACGGTACGGCAGGGTACGGCAGGGTACGGCAGGGTACGGCAGGGTACGGCACGGTACGGCAGGGTACGGCACGGTACGGCAGGGTACGGCACGGTACGGCAGGGTACGGCAGGGTACGGCAGGGTACGGCACGGTACGATACGGCCGAGTGTAGGGGCTTTTCCATTAAAAACGGTACTTCCAAGTTTCTCCTCAGCGTGGGAGGGTCGTCAGAACACGTCATTTACGCGCAATGCGTCACTAGTGACAACATCTTAGTTATTTAAAATACATGTATTTTAAATAACAAGTAAAAAAACAATATATGATAAAAAAATCATTTGCCTAAACATTTGTTTTGTGTTTTGGCCAAAAATAAAACTTTAGTTTTTACCAAAAGTCTCCATCCTTGTTCATAAATTTACCAATGTTATACGGATTTACTGACAAATATAACGTATGTAGTAAAAGTACAAAAGTATATGGAGGAAATGGTAACTTTTGCTTTTGAACCCTTTTCTGCAGCGTTCAGACAAATGAATGAAACACAGCCTTGATACAAGCACAGATTTATTATTAACAAAAGTAAAGAGCAAAACCAACAGTTTACAAAGTCCAAAGTACGTATGTCTGAGACCAGGTCCAGACCAGGTCCAGACCAGGTCCAGACTAGGTCCAGACCAGGAGGATGTGAAGTCTCCGGTCACTGCTCGTTGGTAATCTCCACACTTATGGGAAGGGATTCTCAAACAAATATACACGACAACTTAAACACAAGCACAAAACAGAAACACGTGAAAGAGCAAAATACAGCCCAGTAGCACAGGAAGGACGTTAGCTTAGCTGCTATCGATAGCTAAATGTAGCTAGCTCACTGTGTACACAGTAAATGTTTGATTTCAGTGAGAGCTTTAACGGGATACGCAGCTAACAGTTATTTCAGGATTACCACAGACTAGTCACAAATCCAGAGCCATCTCCTGAAAACCTCGTTCCGTCGAGCTGCCTTTGAATTCTTTCTTTGGCCTGAAGAGAGCGTGTGGACCTCGTCCACCGACCAGGACCAGGACTTTTGGGGCTTTCTGTGCAATTCCATTTCTCTGGAGTGAGGAGGACGTTATTAAAATAGATCCATGGGAGGACGTGTTGAAGAAGAACAGCCGGTTTTAAAGATGACTTGTTTTTACCAAAGGGTCGGACGTCGCTTCCAGTGACGACTCGTTGACCAATCAGGGTGAGGCAGTCGCTGACGTCACGTCGTGGTGTCGCTTCAGCCCGGACAGAACCACTGTCCAGGTGGTACCAAAAAGTACGCAAACTCCGATACCAACACTAGTAGAAATGCAAAATAACCGTGCCGTACCGTACCGCGCTGTACCGTACCGTTACTGTGGAAAAGCGGCATAAAACACCCCTGTCTCCTGCTGAACACATCTGTCTCCTGCTGAACACCTCTGTCTCCTGCTGAACACCTCTGTCTCCTGCTGAACACCTCTGTCTCCTGCTGAACACCTCTGTCTCCTGCTGAACACATCTGTCTCCTGCTGAACACCTCTGTCTCCTGCTGAACACATCTGTCTCCTACTGAACACACCTGTCTCCTGCTGAACACCTCTGTCTCCTGCTGAACACCTCTGTCTCCTGCTGAACACATCTGTCTCCTGCTGAACACCTCTGTCTCCTGCTGAACACATCTGTCTCCTGCTGAACACCTCTGTCTCCTGCTGAACACCTCTGTCTCCTGCTGAACACCTCTGTCTCCTGCTGAACACCTCTGTCTCCTGCTGAACACATCTGTCTCCTGCTGAACACCTCTGTCTCCTGCTGAACACCTGTCTCCTGCTGAACACCTCTGTCTCCTGCTGAACACATCTGTCTCCTGCTGAACACCTCTGTCTCCTGTTGAACACATCTGTCTCCTGCTGAACACATCTGTCTCCTGCTGAACACCTCTGTCTCCTGCTGAACACCTGTCTCCTGCTGAACACCTCTGTCTCCTGCTGAACACATCTGTCTCCTGCTGAACACCTCTGTCTCCTGCTGAACACATCTGTCTCCTGCTGAACACCTGTCTCCTGCTGAACACATCTGTCTCCTGCTGAACACATCTGTCTCCTGCTGAACACCTGTCTCCTGCTGAACACATCTGTCTCCTGCTGAACACCTGTCTCCTGCTGAACACATCTGTCTCCTGCTGAACACATCTGTCTCCTGCTGAACACATCTGTCTCCTGCTGAACACCTCTGTCTCCTGCTGAACACCTGTCTCCTGCTGAACACATCTGTCTCCTGCTGAACACCTCTGTCTCCTGCTGAACACCTCTGTCTCCTGCTGAACACATCTGTCTCCTGCTGAACACCTCTGTCTCCTGCTGAACACCTGTCTCCTGCTGAACACATCTGTCTCCTGCTGAACACATCTGTCTCCTGCTGAACACCTCTGTCTCCTGCTGAACACCTGTCTCCTGCTGAACACCTCTGTCTCCTGCTGAACACATCTGTCTCCTGCTGAACACCTCTGTCTCCTGCTGAACACATCTGTCTCCTGCTGAACACCTGTCTCCTGCTGAACACATCTGTCTCCTGCTGAACACATCTGTCTCCTGCTGAACACCTGTCTCCTGCTGAACACCTGTCTCCTGCTGAACACATCTGTCTCCTGCTGAACACATCTGTCTCCTGCTGAACACATCTGTCTCCTGCTGAACACCTCTGTCTCCTGCTGAACACCTGTCTCCTGCTGAACACATCTGTCTCCTGCTGAACACCTCTGTCTCCTGCTGAACACCTCTGTCTCCTGCTGAACACATCTGTCTCCTGCTGAACACCTCTGTCTCCTGCTGAACACCTCTGTCTCCTGCTGAACACCTCTGTCTCCTGCTGAACACATCTGTCTCCTGCTGAACACCTCTGTCTCCTGCTGAACACCTCTGTCTCCTGCTGAACACATCTGTCTCCTGCTGAACACCTCTGTCTCCTGCTGAACACCTCTGTCTCCTGCTGAACACCTCTGTCTCCTGCTGAACACCTGTCTCCTGCTGAACACATCTGTCTCCTGCTGAACACCTCTGTCTCCTGCTGAACACATCCCTCTGTTAAACTGTTAAAGCTGAAGCCTCAGTTTGAATAAAAGGTCATTAACACATTCTGTATTTAGGAAACTGGACTCCCAACATGGCCGCTTTCTCCACTCTCCACACCATCCCAACATGGCCGCTTTCTCCACTCTCCACACCATCCCAACATGGCCGCTTTCTCCACTCTCCACACCATCCCAACATGGCCGCTTTCTCCACTCGCCACACAATCCCAACATGGCCGCTTTCTCCACTCTCCACACCATCCCAACATGGCCGCTTTCTCCACTCTCCACACCATCCCAACATGGCCGCTTTCTCCACTCTCCACACAATCCCAACATGGCCGCTTTCTCCACTCGCCACACAATCCCAACATGGCCACTTTCTCCACTCTCCACACCATCTCAACATGGCCGCCCTCTCTCCTCTCCCCTCCTCGCTGTCCTCCCCCTCTTCCCTCTCTCTCTCTCCCTCTCTTTTCTCTCCTCCCACTCCTCCTCCTCTCTCTCTCTCCCTCTCTTCTCCTCCCCCTCCTCTCTCTCTTTCTCTCCCTCCTCTCCTCTCCTTCTCTCTCGTCTCCTCCCTGTCCTCCCTCTCCCCCGCCTCCTCCTCGCTCCTCCCCGTCCTCCCCCTCCCCCGCCTCCTCCTCTCTCTCCTCCCTGTCCTCCCTGTCCTCCCTCTCCCCCGCCTCCTCCTCTCTCCTCCCCGTCCTCCCTCTCCCCCGCCTCCTCCTCTCTCTCCTCCCTGTCCTCCCTCTCCCCCGCCTCCTCCTCTCTCTCCTCCCTGTCCTCCCTCTCCCCCGCCTCCTCCTCCCTGTCCTCCCTCTCCTCCTCTCCTCCCCTTCCTCCTCCTCCTCTGGTCCTGGACCTCCTTCCCCCTCAGTGCTCCTGTTGTCACGGTGAAAGCCTCATCTCTGACCTGACGTCTTCATCAATATTTCATGTTTCCTCCTCAGCAGCAGCACTCTGTCTGAGAACACAGCGATCAGCAGCATTTTTGTCCTTTACGAGAGTCAGTAGACGCTGTAGCAGTTTAAAGCTGTGACACAAATGGATTCTAAACTTATTCTGATGTTTCTTCATTCACTCGTTTAGAACCTGACAGAGAACCATGTGAGTCCTCTGCTCACATGGTCCTTTCCTCTACTCACATGGTCCTGTCCTATACTCAAATGGTCCTGTCCGCTGCTCACATGGTCCTGTCCTCTGCTCATATGGTCCTGTCCTCTGCTCACATGGTCCTGTCCTCTGCTCACATGGTCCTGTCCTCTGCTCACATGGTCCTGTCCTCTGCTCATATGGTCCTGTCCTCTGCTCACATGGTCCTGTCCTCTGCTCACATGGTCCTGTCCTATACTCAAATGGTCCTGTCCGCTGCTCACATGGTCCTGTCCTCTGCTCACATGGTCCTGTCCTCTGCTCACATGGTCCTGTCCTCTGCTCATATGGTCCTGTCCTCTGCTCACATGGTCCTGTCCTCTGCTCACATGGTCCTGTCCTATACTCAAATGGTCCTGTCCGCTGCTCACATGGTCCTGTCCTCTGCTCATATGGTCCTGTCCTCTGCTCACATGGTCCTGTCCTCTGCTCACATGGTCCTGTCCTCTGCTCACATGGTCCTGTCCTCTGCTCATATGGTCCTGTCCTCTGCTCACATGGTCCTGTCCTCTGCTCACATGGTCCTGTCCTATACTCAAATGGTCCTGTCCGCTGCTCACATGGTCCTGTCCTCTGCTCACATGGTCCTGTCCTCTGCTCACATGGTCCTGTCCTCTGCTCATATGGTCCTGTCCTCTGCTCACATGGTCCTGTCCTCTGCTCACATGGTCCTGTCCTATACTCAAATGGTCCTGTCCGCTGCTCACATGGTCCTGTCCTCTGCTCATATGGTCCTGTCCTCTGCTCACATGGTCCTGTCCTCTGCTCACATGGTCCTGTCCTCTGCTCACATGGTCCTGTCCTCTGCTCACATGGTCCTGTCCTATACTCAAATGGTCCTGTCCTCTGCTCATATGGTCCTGTCCGCTGCTCACATGGTCCTGTCCTCTGCTCACATGGTCCTCTGCTCCCCCCTCAGTCTAAACTTCTCCTCCCCTCTGCCTTAGCTCCTCCTCCTCTCCTCCCATCAGCCTAAACTCCTCCCCCTCTCTTCCCCTCAGCCATAGCTCCTCCCCCCTCTCAGCCTTAGCTCCTCCCCCTCTCTTCCCCTCAGACTTAGCTCCTCCTCCTCTCCCCTGTCTGCCTTAGCTCCTCCCCCTCTCCTCCCATCAGCCTAAGCTCCTCCCCCCTCTAGTCCCCTCTGCCTTCGCTCCTCCCCCTATCCTTCCTCTCCTCCCCTCAGCCTAGACTCCGCCCCCCTCTCCCCCTCCCCTCCTCTCTCCTCCTGTCTGATTCCTCGCCGCTCAGTCCGCCACACAGAGCTCTTCCACCGGACACTGTCTCACTGGTGTCTCACTGGTCTCTCTCTGGTCTCTCTCTGGTCTCTCTCTGGTGTCTCACTGGTGTCTCTCTGGTCTCTCTCTGGTCTCTCTCTGGTCTTTCTCTGGTCTCTCTCTGGTGTCTCACTGGTGTCTCACTGGTCTCTCTCTGGTCTCTCTCTGGTCTTTCTCTGGTCTCTCTCTGGTGTCTCACTGGTGTCTCACTGGTGTCTCACTGGTCTCTCTCTGGTCTCTCTCTGGTCTCTCTCTGGTCTCTCTCTGGTCTCTCTCTGGTGTCTCACTGGTGTCTCACTGGTCTCTCTCTGGTCTCTCTCTGGTCTCTCTCTGGTCTTTCTCTGGTCTCTCTCTGGTGTCTCACTGGTGTCTCACTGGTCTCTCTCTGGTCTCTCTCTGGTCTTTCTCTGGTCTCTCTCTGGTGTCTCACTGGTGTCTCACTGGTGTCTCACTGGTCTCTCTCTGGTCTCTCTCTGGTCTTTCTCTGGTCTCTCTCTGGTGTCTCACTGGTGTCTCACTGGTGTCTCACTGGTCTCTCTCTGGTCTCTCTCTGGTCTTTCTCTGGTCTCTCTACAGGAGTCTCTTGCTGCAGGAGTCTGCTCTTGATCTGTTGTTAATGTGTGTCTGTGAAAGGTGCTACATAAATAAATATGCCCTTCCTGCAGGAGACAGCAGCTGGCTGATCGTGGCGACCGGAGTGGCCGACTGTTACTACAACGTGACAGACCTGCCAGCAGGGGGCGCTGTCCGCTTCAGAGTGGCCTGTGTCAACAAGGCAGGACAAGGGCCCTACAGCAACCTGTCTGAGAGAGTGGAGCTGGAGGGAAAAGGTCACACACACAGATAACATATACACACATACAGAGAGACACACACACAAACACACACATGCATACACACAGATACCACTCTCACACATAACAGACCCAGAAAGAAAGAGAGAAACACATACCACACACACACACACACAAAATTACAGAGAGATATAGAGAGAAACACACTCACGCACACATACAGAGAGACACACATATACAGAGAGACACACACACACACATACAGAGAGACACACACGCACACATACAGAGACACACATACAGAGAGACACACACACACACATACAGAGAGACACACACGCACACATACAGAGACACACATACAGAGAGACACACACGCACACATACAGAGACACACGTACACACATACAGAGAGACGCACACGCACACACACAGAGACACACATACAGAGAGACACACACGCACACATACAGAGACACACATACAGAGAGCCACACACACACACATACAGAGAGACACACACGCACACATACAGAGACACATACAAAGAGACACACCCGCACACATACAGAGAGACACACATACAGAGAGACACACACGCACACATACAGAGACACACATACAGAGAGACGCACACATACAGAGACACACATACAGAGAGACACACACGCACACATGCAGAGACACACATACAGAGATACACACACGCACACATACAGAGACACACATACAGAGAGACACACACACAATTACAGAGAGAAACACACACACACACACAATTACAGAGAGAAACACACACACACACACATACAGAGAGAAACACACACACACACATACAGAGAAACACACACACACACATACAGAGAGACACACACACACACATACAGAGACACACACACACACACACACACACATATTGATAAACCCTTGTTTCCTCAGAACTGTATAGATCCACTAAAGCCTCCATCGTGGTGAAGACCGTTCCTTCTGCTGCTCCTCCCATCGTCCTGAAGTCCTCGGTGACTGTGGCTCCTGCTAAACCTGCGGAATCCCCCCCCACATCCTCCCCCCAGTCTCCCCCCGTGTCCTCCCCCACATCCTCCCCCCTTTCTCCTGTGTCTCCCCCCATGTCTCCTGTGTCTCTTGTGACTTCTCCTGTGTCCTCTCCCGTCGCTCCTGTATCACCTGCTCCCCCCTCCTTCCCTCCCCCTCTCTCCACCTCCACCCTCAGCATCAGTGTCTCCCCCCCTCGCCTCACCCTCCCACCCGTGGTCCCTCCCAAACCCCACAGTCCGGTCCGACAGCCGCCCTCTCCAACGCCATCTCCTGTCATTGGTGAGAACTATTCAAATAAATACTTATACTGTACATGGTCTCTTTGGTCTCTCTCTCTGGTCTCTCTCTGGTCTTTCTGGTCTCTCTCTCTGGTCTCTCTCTGGTCTCTCTCTGGACTCTCTCTGGTCTCTCTCTGGTCTCTGTCTGGTCTCTCACTGGACTCTCTGGTCTCTCTCTGGTCTCTCTCTGGTCTTTCTGGTCTCTCTCTCTGGTCTCTCTCTGGTCTCTCTCTGGACTCTCTCTGGTCTCTCTCTGGTCTCTGTCTGGTCTCTCACTGGACTCTCTCTGGTCTCTCTCTGGACTCTCTCTGGTCTCTCTCAGGTCTCTCTCTGGTCTCTCTCTGGCCTCTCTCTCTGGACTCTCTCTGGTCTCTCTCTGGTCTCTCTCTCTGGACTCTCTCTGGTCGCTCTCTGGTCTCTCTCTCTGGACTCTCTCTGGTCTCTCTCTGGTCTCTCTCTCTGGACTCTCTCTGGTCTCTCTCTGGTCTCTCTCTGGTCTCTCTCTGGTCTCTCTCTGGTCTCTCTCTGGTCTCTCTCTCTGGACTCTCTCTGGTCTCTCTCTGGTCTCTCTCTCTGGACTCTCTCTGGTCTCTCTCTGGTCTCTCTCTGGTCTCTCTCTGGACTCTCTCTGGTCTCTCTCTGGTCTCTCTCTGGTCTCTCTCTCTGGACTCTCTCTGGTCTCTCTCTGGTCTCTCTCTGGACTCTCTCTGGTCTCTCTCTGGTCTCTCTCTGGTCTCTCTCTGGTCTCTCTCTCTCTCTCTGGTCTCTCTCTGGTCTCTCTCTGGTCTCTCTCTGGTCTCTCTCTGGTCTCTCTCTGGTCTCTCTCTCTGGACTCTCTCTGGTCTCTCTCTCTGGACTCTCTCTGGTCTCTCTCTGGTCTCTCTCTGGTCTCTCTCTGGTCTCTCTCTGGACTCTCTCTGGTCTCTCTCTGGTCTCTCTCTGGTCTCTCTCTCTGGACTCTCTCTGGTCTCTCTCTCTGGACTCTCTCTGGTCTCTCTCTGGTCTCTCTCTGGTCTCTCTCTGGACTCTCTCTGGTCTCTCTCTGGTCTCTCTCTGGTCTCTCTCTGGACTCTCTCTGGTCTCTCACTGGTCTCTCTCTGGACTCTCTCTGGTCTCTCTCTGGTCTCTCTCTGGTCTCTCTCTCTGGACTCTCTCTGGTCTCTCTCTCTGGACTCTCTCTGGTCTCTCTCTGGTCTCTCTCTGGACTCTCTCTGGTCTCTCTCTGGTCTCTTAAAGGGTAAAGTTTGTGTTGACACAGGTCCAAACAACACTGTTGATGTGGTCATGACCAGAGTCTTACTTCTACTTTAAATCTGCAGTCAATAAAGGAATAAATCTTAATCTTATCTTAAATGATTATTTCCCTCTTCATGTTTCAGGTAAACCCATCTCTTCTGTTCCGCTGTACGTCGCCGCTTCTTCCAGAAAAACTCCCCCCTCTGTCGCTTCACCCTCGACCACCGTGACCACTGTGGCCGTAGCTCCTCCCACAGTTACTGCAGCCTCCATAGCTCCCCCTGTGGTCGTGATGCAGAGCGACAGTCGCCTCACCCCCTCAGGACGCCTCACCCCCTCAGGACGCAGGACCCCTCTGATGGGGAAGGGGGAGGGAGCGCTGAGGCAGGGGGTACCCCAGAAACCCTACACCTTTATGGACGAGAAGGCCAGGTGAGGAGAGACCGGAGAGAGACCAGAGAGAGACCAGAGAGAGACCAGAGAGAGACCAGAGAGACCAGAGAGAGACCAGAGAGAGACCAGAGAGAGACCAGAGAGAGACCAGAGAGAGACCGGAGAGAGACCAGAGCAACCAGAGAGAGACCGGAGAGAGACCGGAGAGAGACCGGAGCAACCAGAGAGAGACCGGAGAGAGAGACCAGAGAGAGACCGGAGCAACCAGAGAGAGACCGGAGAGAGAGACCAGAGAGAGAGACCTGATAGACAAAAGATAGACAACAGTGAGAGACCAGTCCACTCTAACACACAGGCTTATGTTGTACCTGCCCTGTCCCTCCACAGGGGGCGCTTCGGTGTGATCCGCGAGTGCCGGGAGAACTCGACAGGAAACCTGTTCATGGCGAAGATCGTGCCGTACGAGGCGGACACCAAGAGCAGCGTCCTGCAGGAGTACGACATCCTCAAGTCTCTGCACCATGAGAGGGTCATGGCTCTGCACGAGGCCTACGTCACACCGCGCTACCTGGTCCTCATCTGCGAGTTCTGCAGCGGCAAGGAGCTGCTACACTCTCTCATCGACAGGTACCAGACAAACCTGGACTCTCTCTGGTCTCTCTCTGGTCTCTCTCTCTAGTCTCTCTCTCTGGTCTCTCTCTGGTCTCTCTCTCTAGTCTCTCTCTCTGGTCCCTCTCTGGTCTCTCTCTGGTCTCTCTCTGGTCTCTCTGGTCTCTCTCTCTGGTCTCTCTCTCTAGTCTCTCTCTCTGGTCTCTCTCTGGTCTCTCTCTGGTCTCTCTGGTCTCTCTCTCTGGTCTCTCTCGCTAGTCTCTCTCTCTGGTCTCTCTCTGGACTCTCTCTGGTCTCTCTCTGGTCTCTCTCTCTAGTCTCTCTCTGGTCTCTCTCTGGTCTCTCTCTGGTCTCTCTCTGGTCTCTCTCTAGTCTCTCTCTGGTCTCTCTCTCTGGTCTCTCTCTCTAGTCTCTCTCTCTGGTCTCTCTCTGGTCTCTCTCTGGTTTCTCTCTCTGGTCTCTCTCTCTAGTCTCTCTCTCTGGTCTCTCTCTGGTCTCTCTCTCTAGCCTCTCTCTCTGGTCTCGCTCTGGTCTCTCTCTGGTCTCTCTCTGGTCTCTCTCTGGTCTCTCTGGTCTCTCTCTCTGGTCTCTCTCTCTAGTCTCTCTCTCTGGTCTCTCTCTGGTCTCTCTCTGGTCTCTCTCTGGTCTCTCTGGTCTCTCTCTCTGGTCTCTCTCTGGTCTCTCTCTCTGGTCTCTCTCTCTAGTCTCTCTCTCTAGTCTCTCTCTCTGGTCTCTCTCTGGTCTCTCTCTCTAGTCTCTCTCTCTGGTCTCTCTCTGGTCTCTCTCTGGTCTCTCTGGTCTCTCTCTCTGGTCTCTCTCTCTAGTCTCTCTCTCTGGTCTCTCTCTGGTCTCTCTCTGGTCTCTCTGGTCTCTCTCTCTGGTCTCTCTCTCTAGTCTCTCTCTCTGGTCTCTCTCTGGTCTCTCAGGTCTCTCTCTGGTCTCTCTCTGGTCTCTATGGTCTCTCTCTGGTCTCTCTCTGGTCTCTCTCTGGTCTCTCTCTGGTCTCTCTCTGGTCTCTCTGGTCTGACACATGCTTTATAAAGGAAACCCCTGGAGATTGTCGAGACCAGGACGAGACCAGCTGTCCCTGTGACCCCCCTCTGGTGTGCCTCAGGTTTCGGTACTCTGAGGATGACGTGGTGACCTACATAGTCCAGGTTCTGCAGGGTCTGGACTATCTGCACACGCGGAGGATCCTGCACCTGGACCTGAAGCCGGACAACATCATCGTCACCTTCATGAATGTCGTCAAAATCATCGACTTCGGCACCGCCCAAAACTACAACCCCCTGTTCCTCAAGACCTTCTGCCCCGCCATCGGGACCAGGGAGTACATGTGTGAGTGACTGAGGCTTTAGACCCAGGACCGAGACTGTAGACCCAGGACTGAGGCTGTAGATCCAGGACTGAGACTGTAGACCCAGGACTGAGGCTGTAGACCCAGGACTGAGACTGTAGATCCAGGACTGAGGCTGTAGACCCAGGACTGAGGCTGTAGACCCAGGACTGAGGCTGTAGACCCAGGACTGAGGCTGTAGACCCAGGACTGAGGCTGTAGACCCGGGAGTGAGGCTGTAGACCCAGGACTGAGGCTGTAGACCCAGGACTGAGGCTGTAGACCCAGGACTGAGGCTGTAGACCCAGGACTGATCTCTTCTTCTGTTTGAAAGTGTAGTTTGTGTAGGTTTCCTCCAGGTGCTCCGGTATCTGTGTAAAGTGACTTCTGTGTTCAGCTCCAGAGATGGTGAAAGGAGACGTGGTGGGACCTCCTGCAGACATCTGGAGCATCGGGGTCCTGACCTTCATCATGTGAGTGTGGACTGTACCAGGTCTGAACCAGGTCTAACCCTGGTCTCTCTCTGTTTTATCTGGTCTCTCTCTGGTCTCTCTCTGTTTTATCTGGTCTCTCTCTGGCCTCTCTCTAGTCTAGTCTCTCTCTAGTCTCTCTCTAGTCTCTCTCTAGTCTCTCTCTAGTCTCTCTCTAGTCTCTCTCTAGTCTCTCTCTAGTCTCTGGTCTAACCCTGGTCTCTCCCTGATCTTACTGGTCTCTCACTGGTTTCTCTCTGGTCTCTCTCTTGTTTTTCTCTGGTCCCTCTCTGGTCTCTCTCTAGTGTCTGGTCTCTCTGGTCTAACCCTGGTCTCTCCCTGGTCTTAGGCTCAGTGGTCGGTCCCCCTTCCTGGACTCGGATCCTCAGGAGACTGAAGCCCGGATCCAGACGGCGAAGTTCGACCTGAGTCGTTTGTATCAGAATGTGTCTCAAAGTGCCTCTCTGTTCATCAAGAAGATCCTCTGCAGCTTCCCCTGGTGAGTCAGCTCTGAGGCCGAGACCGGGACGGGTCCCTCAGGGGCCTCCTCTCTCCTCCTCAGGGCCTGCCCCTCCCTCAGGGACCTCCTCTCTCACCTCCTTTCTCTCCCTTCTCCTCCTCAGGGCCCGCCCCTTCCTCAGAGACCTCCTCTCTCACTCCTGTCTCTCCCTTCTCCTCCTCAGGGCCCGCCCCTCCCTCAGGGACCTCCTCTCTCACTCCTGTCTCTCCTCTCTCCTCCTCAGGGCCCGCCCCTCCCTCAGGGACCTCCTCTCTCACTCCTGTCTCTCCTCTCTCCTCCTCAGGGCCCGCCCCTCCCTCAGAGACCTCCTCTCTCACTCCTGTCTCTCCTCTCTCCTCCCCAGGGCCCGCCCCTCCCTCAGGGACCTCCTCTCTCACTCCTGTCTCTCCTCTCTCCTCCTCAGGGCCCGCCCCTCCTCAGAGACCTCCCTCTCTCACTCCTGTCTCTCCTCTCTCCTCCCCAGGGCCCGCCCCTCCCTCAGGGACCTCCTCTCTCACTCCTGGTTGCAGGATGCGTACCTGATGCGTTTGAGGAGACAGACTCTGACCTTCACTACGACGCGTCTCAAAGACTTCCTGTCCGAGCAGCAGAAGCAGCGCGTCGTTACGGCAACCAGACACAAAGTCCTTTTACGGTCGTACCAGAGCCAGGCCACGCCCACTCTGGCCCCGCCCACTTCCCACTGACAACCGCCAATCACCCGGCAAACAAGTGTTGATGGTTTTAAATGACTTGGCCCCTCCCCCTGACTCCTCCCACCTCCTCACCCCGGCTGCTGTTAAACCTTTGTTCTTTTCTGTGTGACGAAGGAGATCTCTGGGACTTAAGTTTTAAAATCTTTAGACTGGTTTGTGGTGTGTTTTCGGTGCAGTTTTCTCTGGGCAGCGCCCTCAGCTCTCGGCCCAAAGAGGCAAACAGTGACTCACAGGGTTCTGACCACAGCAGGTTGTGTCTGGTTTGTTCACAACATTTTACTTTCACACTCTTTCTACATGTTATTTATGACGCTAAAGTTACACACCCCAGCTTTAAGTGTCCATGTTTTTATAAGGGTTAGACTCCTCTGTTTTCCACCTCCCCCTCTCTCTCTCTCCTCTCTCTCCCCTCTCTCTCCTCTCTCTCTCTCTCTCTCTCTCTCTCTCTCCTCTCTCTCTCTCTCTCTCTCTCCTCTCTCTCTCTCCCCTCTCTCTCCTCTCTCTCTCTCCCTCCTCTCTCTCTCCCCTCTCTCTCCTCTCTCTCCTCCTCTCTCTCTCTCTCTCTCTCCCCTCTCTCTCTCTCTCTCCTCTCTCTCCTCTCTCTCTCTCTCTCCCCTCTCTCTCTCTCCCCTCTCTCTCTCTCTCTCTCCTCTCTCTCCCCTCTCTCTCTCTCTCTCCTCTCTCTCCTCTCTCTCTCTCTCTCTCCCCTCTCTCCTCTCTCTCTCCCCCCCCCCCCCCCCCCCCTCTCTCCTCTGGTGTCTAACTGTGTGGGTTGAGGTCAGATGGAGGTGGTTGTGTTTCTGATGAGTTCTGGTTAAAACGACACAAAATGAATAAAACACAGAAAACATAAAAAAGTCACATTTATTTTTTGTAAAAGAAAATTGGTAAAAAATGTGTTTAGTTTTTTGTGATTAAATATTTATGTGTTAAACAGGGAACGGCAAAGATTGTGTTTCTTTATACACATACAGGCGCACACTAACACACACACACACACAATAACACACACAGACGCACGCACACACACACACACACACAGAAGAGACACAGACGCACACACACACACAGACACACACACACACAGAGGGAGAGACACAGACGCACACACACACACACACACATACACGTTTTTGTTACCTGGTGGGTCCCTTTGACAGGGCCGTTCAGAATGGGACCCATAGACATAATCTTTTTTTACTGGGACTACTTTAAAGCTGCACTAACTGACTTTATTTTTGTATTCATTACGAAAATGCTATCCATGTCCGTGTAGGGCATTGGGATATACATCATTTTGAAGAAAAAGTAGCGCAGATTTGTGCTGGCGTGACATTATATTTTAGATCGAGTTTTGATGAAACAAGGAAGAGAATGTGTTTCGGGTCGCAGATTGTGACCAATCACAGCGGACCACTGGCCCCCACTCTCGTGAGAAATCTACAGGTCTGTTAGCATAGACGGCTGAGTTAGCACAACAAGCGGCGGAGCTAACCTGAAACTTCGTGTGTCTTCGTCACCGGTTACTGCTTACACAGCGACACAGCCATCCAAAAGAAAGTCCCGTTCCTCCGCGCTTCCCGGTTCTATCGTTCTATGGTCACGCCATCCACGTGCAAATCCATATCCATGTATTATCCATATTGGGAGACGCTAGCTCCGTCAACAACAGTGGGTGTGTGTGGGGGGCGATAGCTTCGTGGGTGCGGGGAGGGGAGCAGAAAGAGCGAGGCCAAAGTCAGTTAGTGCAGCTTTAAGTAATACAAAACAGTCAATAGAAAACAAACAACTCTTTTAAAGGAATTTTATTTTTGATTTTTTTTTCGAATTGCAGTGATTCTATTTTTGACATAGAATTTAATGCCACTCCATGTCCGATGTCTAAGGTCATCTGGTGAGGCATTAATGCAGGCCAGGCAGTGAGACTTCCCAGAGTTGTGCGATGACGTCAGAGCGGTTGTGTGTGTGTGTGTGTGTGTGTGTGTGTGTGTGTGTGTGTGTGTGTGTGTGTCGCTCTGAGGACTTGACAAAGTTGTGGATTCACCAAGAACAGATCAGAGAATCAAACGGTTTGGACTCGCCTGATCTAGACCACGGCTCCAAACTTTAGGTCCTTCCTTTAATCTGATGCTATGTACTTAACTGTAATCATAATATAAAGTGTGTGTTGCAGTTGGTGTGTGTGACGTCAGTTGTTGTGTGTTGCAGTTGGTGTGTGTGACGTCAGTTGTTGTGTGTTGCAGTTGGTGTGTGTGACGTCAGTTGTTGTGTGTTGCAGTTGGTGTGTGTTGCAGTTGGTGTGTGTGACGTCAGTTGGTGTGTGTTGCAGTTGGTGTGTGTTGCAGTTGGTGTGTGTGACGTCAGTTGGTGTGTGTTGCAGTTGGTGTGTGTGACGTCAGTTGTTGTGTGTTGCAGTTGGTGTGTGTTGCAGTTGGTGTGTGTGACGTCAGTTGGTGTGTGTTGCAGTTGGTGTGTGTGACGTCAGTTGTTGTGTGTTGCAGTTGGTGTGTGTTGCAGTTGGTGTGTGTGACGTCAGTTGGTGTGTGTTGCAGTTGGTGTGTGTGACGTCAGTTGTTGTGTGTTGCAGTTGGTGTGTGTTGCAGTTGGTGTGTGTGACGTCAGTTGTTGTGTGTTGCAGTTGGTGTGTGTGACGTCAGTTGTTGTGTGTTGCAGTTGGTGTGTGTGACGTCAGTTGTTGTGTGTTGCAGTTGGTGTGTGTTGCAGTTGGTGTGTGTGTTGCAGTTGGTGTGTGTTGCAGTTGGTGTGTGTGACGTCAGTTGTTGTGTGTTGCAGTTGGTGTGTGTGACGTCAGTTGTTGTGTGTTGCAGTTGGTGTGTGTGACGTCAGTTGTTGTGTGTTGCAGTTGGTGTGTGTTGCAGTTGGTGTGTGTGACGTCAGTTGGTGTGTGTTGCAGTTGGTGTGTGTGACGTCAGTTGGTGTGTGTTGCAGTTGGTGTGTGTTGCAGTTGGTGTGTGTGACGTCAGTTGGTGTGTGTTGCAGTTGGTGTGTGTGACGTCAGTTGGTGTGTGTTGCAGTTGGTGTGTGTGACGTCAGTTGTTGTGTGTTGCAGTTGGTGTGTGTTGCAGTTGGTGTGTGTGACGTCAGTTGGTGTGTGTTGCAGTTGGTGTGTGTGACGTCAGTTGTTGTGTGTTGCAGTTGGTGTGTGTTGCAGTTGGTGTGTGTGACGTCAGTTGGTGTGTGTTGCAGTTGGTGTGTGTGACGTCAGTTGTTGTGTGTTGCAGTTGGTGTGTGTTGCAGTTGGTGTGTGTGACGTCAGTTGTTGTGTGTTGCAGTTGGTGTGTGTGACGTCAGTTGTTGTGTGTTGCAGTTGGTGTGTGTGACGTCATCAGTTGGTGGTGTGTGTGCAGTCAGTTGGTGTCATTGTGTTTGACGTCAGTTGGTATGCGTGTTGTTGGTGTGTGTGACGTCAGTTGTGTGTGTTTGACGTCAGTTGGTGTGTGTTTGACGTCAGTTGGTGTGTGTTTTGACGTCAGTTGGTGTGTGTTTGACATCAGTTGGTGTGTGTTTGACATCAGTTGGTGTGTGTTTGACATTCAGTTGGTGTGTGTTTGACTTCAGTTGTGTGTGTGACGTCAGTTGGTGTGGCGTTTGACGTCAGTGGTGTGTGTGACGTCAGTTGGTGTGTGTTTGAACGTCAGTTGGTGTGTGTGACGTCAGTTGGTGTGTGTTGACGACAGTTGGTGTGTGTTTGACGACAGTTTGGTGTGTTTGACGACAGTTGGTGTGTGTTGACGATCAAGGTTGGGTGTGTGTTTGACATCAGTTGGTGTGTGTTTGACATCAGTTGGTGTGTGTTTGACGACAGTTGGTGTGCGTGACGTCAGTTGGTGTGTGTTTGACGTCAGTTGGTGTGTGTTTGACGTCAGTTGGTGTGTGTTTGACGTCAGTTGGTGTGTGTTTGACGTCAGTTGGTGTGTGTTTGACGACAGTTGGTGTGTGTTTGACGTCAGTTGGTGTGTGTTTGACGGTCAGTTGGTGTGTGTTTGACGTCAGTTGGTGTGTGTTTGACGTCAGTTGGTTGCGTGACGTCAGTTGGTGTGTGTTGACGTCAGTTGGTGTGTGTTTGACGTCAGTTGGTATGCGTGACGTCAGTTGGTGTGTGTTTGACGTCAGTTGGTGTGTTTGACGTCAGTTGGTGTGTGTTTGACGTCAGTTGGTGTGTGTTTGACAGTCAGTTGGTGTGTGTTTGACGTCAGTTGGTGTGTGTGACGTCAGTTGGTGTGTGTTTGACGTCAGTTGGTGTGTGTTGACGACTCAGTTGGTGTGTGTTTGACGTCAGTTGGTGTGTGTTTGACGTCAGTTGGTGTGTGTGTGACGTCAGTTGGTGTGTGTTTGACGTCAGTTGGTGTGTGTTTGACGTCAGTTGGTGTGTTTTTTGACGTCAGTTGGTGTGTGTTTGACGTCAGTTGGTGTGTGTGACGTCAGTTGGTGTGTGTGACGTCAGTTGGTGTGTGTTTGACGTCAGTTGGTGTGTGTTTGACGTCAGTTGGTGTGTGTTTGACGTCAGTTGGTGTGTGTTTGACGTCAGTTGGTGTGTGTTGACGTCAGTTGGTGTGTGTTTGACGTCAGTTGGTGTGTGTTTGACGTCAGTTGGTGTGTGTTTGACGTCAGTTGGTGTGTGTTTGACGTTGGTTGTGTGTTGACGTCAGTTGGTGTGTGTTTGACGTCAGTTGGTGTGTGTTTGACGTCAGTTGGTGTGTGTTTGACATCAGTTGGTGTGTGTTTGACGTCAGTTGGTGTGCGTGACGTCAGTTGGTGTGTGTTTGACGTCAGTTGGTGTGGTGTGACGTCAGTTGGTGTTGTGTTTGCAGTTCAGTTGGTGTGTGTTTGACGTCAGTTGGTGTGTGTTTGAACGTCAGTTGGTGTGTGTGACGTCAGTTGGTGTGTGTTTGAACGTCAGTTGGTGTGTGTTTGACGTCAGTTGGTGTGCGTCAGTTGGTGTGTGTTTGACGTCAGTTGGTGTGTGTGACGTCAGTTGGTGTGTGTTTGACGTCAGTTGGTGTGTGTTTGACGTCAGTTGGTGTGTGTTTGACGTCAGTTGGTGTGTGTTTTGACGTCAGTTGGTGTGTGTTTGACGTCAGTTGGTGTGTGTTGACGTCAGTTGGTGTGTGTTTGACGTCAGTTGGTGTGTGTGACGTCAGTTGGGTGTGTGTTTGACGTCAGTTGGTATGCGTGACCTCAGTTGGTATGCTTGACGTCAGTTGGTGTGTGTTTGACGTCAGTTGATGTGTGTTTGACGTCAGTTGGTGTGTGTTTGACGTCAGTTGGTGTGTGTTTGACATCAGTTGGTGTGTGTTTGACATCAGTTGGTGTGTGTTTGACGTCAGTTGGTATGCGTGACGTCAGTTGGTGTGTGTTTGACGTCAGTTGGTGTGTGTGACGTCAGTTGGTATGCGTGACGTCAGTTGGTGTGTGTTTGACGTCAGTTGGTGTGTGTGTGACGTCAGTTGGTATGCGTGACGTCAGTTGGTGTGTGTTGACGTCAGTTGGTGTGTGTTTGACATCAGTTGGTATGCGTGACGTCAGTTTTGTGTGTTTTGACGTCAGTTGGTGTGTGTTTGACGACAGTTGGTGTGTGTTTGACGACAGTTGGTGTGTGTTTGACAACAGTTGGTGTGTGCTTGACGACAGTTGGTGTGTGTGACGTCAGTTGGTATGCGTGACGTCAGTTGGTGTGTTTGACATCAGTTGGTATGCGTGACGTCAGTTGGTGTGTGTTTGACGTCAGTTGGTGTGTGTGTTTGACGGACAGTTGGTGTGTGTTTGACGACAGTTGGTGTGTGTTTGACATCAGTTGGTGTGTGTTTGACGTCAGTTGGTGTGTGTTTGACGTCAGTTGGTGTGTGTGACGTCAGTTGGTATGCGTGACGTCAGTTGGTGTGTGTTTGACATCAGTTGGTATGCGTGACGTCAGTTGGTGTGTGTTTGACGTCAGTTGGTGTGTGTTTGACATCAGTTGGTGTGTGTTTGACGTCAGTTGGTATGTGTGGTATCGTGACGTCAGTTGGTGTGTGTTTGACGTCAGTTGGTGTGTGTTTGACGACAGTTGGTGTGTGTTTGACGACAGTTGGTGTGTGTTTGACGTCAGTTGGTGTGTGTTTGACGACAGTTGGTGTGTGTTTGACATCAGTTGGTGTGTGTTTGACGACAGTTGGCTAAACATTCAAACTAAAAAAACCTGTAGAAACGGGTATAGCTCCTTTAAGTTCAGGTGTGTAGCTTTACAATTATCTTAATTTGTAAACAACGGAATGGAACTTTCTGGTGTGAACTATGGCTTTAAGCAGCAATGACAACTGTCAAACGAGCTGTCAATCACAGCACAGACCACGCCCAGCTCTGAGCCCCACTTCTTGTCCCCTGGTCCTCGGGCAACGCACTTTTTAGAAAGCGGAGTCAGGCTGGACACAGGTGTTTAGTCGTACTTTAAATCCATAGAGAGACCATGAGAGAGACCATGAAAGAGACCATAGAGAGACGATGAGAGAGACCAGAGAAAGACCATGAGAGAGACTGAAGAGAGATCAGAGACACAATGAGAGAGATCAGAGAGAGACCATGAGAGAGACCAGGAAGAGACCAGAGTCAAATAGTGACTCACAGGACTCTCTCTTGGCTCTTTCCAGCAGGTTGTGTGTGATTCTTAAACCTGAAAGCAGAGAGCGGTTCTGAACGTCCTTCAGACCAACTGACGTCACAGTTTTCGATTACGTTTAGTTAAATGTGAGAAGTCGTTTCAGACGTGAGAAAACCTGTCAACACCAACGGAGGGCGAGAAATCTAATCATCCACACGTGTTCAGAGGTGTGTCCAGGGTCCAGAGACCAGAGAGAGACCAGAGAGAGACCAGAGATGGACCAGAGATGGACCAGAGAGAGACCAGAGAGAGACCAGAGAGGGACCAGAGAGAGACCAGAGAGAGACCAGAGAGAGACCAGAGAGGGACCAGAGAGGGACCAGAGAGAGACCAGAGAGAGACCAGAGATGGACCAGAGATGGACCAGAGAGAGACCAGAGAGAGACCAGAGAGGGACCAGAGAGGGACCAGAGAGGGACCAGAGAGAGATCAGAGAGGGACCAGAGAGGGACCAGAGAGGGACCAGAGAGGGATCAGAGAGAGATCAGAGAGAGACCAGAGAGAGACCAGAGAGAGACCAGAGAGAGACCAGAGAGAGACCAGAAGGACCAGAAAGGGACCAGAGAGAGACCAGAGAGGGACCAGAGAGAGACCAGAGAGAGAGAGACTAGAGAGAGCAACCAGAGAGAGACCAAAGATAGAGACTAGTGAGAGAGAGAGAGATACCAGACGAGGGATAGAGCTGTCCTCATTATTTGCACGTTCTCCTAACGCCGCTCTGCTCCTGTGTTCCAGGCTGACGTCTGAAGTCTCTGGGATCGGCTCCGTCTGACTCTGCAAACATTTATTTATTCATATTTATTATAATCACGTTTCCGTAACTTTATGTTTGTGGAACAGTTCTTACTTCAACTGTGAAATAATATTCAATTTATGTGAAGACACGTCTGAGAATACGTTTAAGCAGTCACTTTGTCTTTATGGGTAAAGCCCTGTTTCCACCAACTCTACCCTACCCTACCCTACCCTACCCTACCCTACCCTACCCTACTCTACTCTACTCTACTCTACTCTACCCTACCCTACCCTACTCTACTCTACCCGACCCTACTCTACTCTACCCTACCCTACCTTACCCTACTCTACCCTACCCTACCCTACCCTACTCTACTCTACTCTACCCTACCCTACCCTACTCTACCCTACTCTACTCTACCCTACCCTACCCTACTCTACCCTACCCTACTCTACTCGTACCGTACCGTAGTCTCACTGGAGACATTAACAGAATAGGAATCTCTCATAGCTTTAGTTTAGAAACAGGTGATTTAGACAGAAGGGGTGGGGGGACATACTTATTAGTATTTGTTTAAATAAAACATTCCTGTTTATGTTCGGTTGAAACTCGACTGAACCAGATTCACCTCAATATGCAAGAATGAAAAAGCCATGAGTTCAAGTGCTCTCAAACCGAAAATTGTAAAACTGTCCAAAAGAGCGTTAGCAATGCTTCTAACTGCTTCTAACTGTCACCAGAGGAGAGCAGAGGGACGCAGATTTTGTATTCCATGTTTGAGAAAATTATAATAAAGTTTTGCTCCTCCTGAGTCTGTCTGAGTTTGTCCTGACCAAAAAGAGACCAGAGAGAGAGACCAGAAAGAGATCAGACAGAGACCAGAAAGAGATTAGAGAGAGAGAGAGACCAGAGATAGAGACCAGATAACATAGAGAGAGTGCAGAGGTCCTGGTCCACTCCTGGTCCTGTAATGCGGTGGCTCTATCGGACTGTGGTGATAAAGAGGGAGCAGCGTCTGCAGTCAGAGCTCTATAAGTATAAATATTTGTTTAGAGTGTAAAAAAGTCCAAAGCAGGAGTTGAAGCTCAGTCGACAGAATGTGATGAGTTACTCCAACAGTGATGTAACCGACGGCAACAGAGGCTCAGACTCTGGAGGAATCTATTATAAAGTGTTAATGAGGCTTCTGCAAAAACACCTCTGTAGGTACGAACACCTGACGAAACACCCTCAGAGCGAAGACCTGATGAAACACCCTCACAGTGAAGACCTGACAAAACACCCTCACAATGAAGACCTGACAAAACACCCTCACAGTGAAGACCTTACGAAACACCCTCACAGTGAAGACCTGACGAAACACCCTCAGAGCGAAGACCTGACGAAACACCCTCACAGTGAAGACCAGACGAAACACCCTCACAGTGAAGACCTGACGAAACACCCTCAGAGTGAAGACCTGACGAAACACCCTCAGTGTGAAGACCAGACGAAAATTCCTCAGAGCGAAGACCTGACGAAACACCCTCAGAGCAAATCCCTGACGAAACACCCTCAGAGCGAAGCCCTGACGAAACACCCTCAGAGCGAAGACCTGACAAAACACCCTCAGAGTGAAGACCTGACTTGACGAAACACCCTCAGAGTGAAGACCTGACGAAACACCCTCAGAGTTAAGACCAGACGAAACTTCCTCAGAGCGAAGACCTGACGAAAAACACTCTCAGAGCGAAGACCTGACGAAACACCCTCAGAGTGAAGGCCTGACGAAACAACCTCAGAGTGAAGACCTGACGAAACACCCTCACAGTGAAGACCAGACAAAATACCCTCACAGTGAAGACCTGAGGAAACACCCTCACAGTGAAGACCTAATGAAAGAGAGACCTTCACAGTGAAGAACTGATGAAAGACCCTCACAGTGAAGCCCTGATGAAAGAGAGACCCTAACAGTGAAGACCTGATGAAACACCCTCACAGTGAAGACCCGACGAAACACCCTCACAATGAAGACCTGACAAAACACCCTCACAGTGAAGACCTTACAAAACACCCTCACAGTGAAGACCTGACGAAACATCCTCAGAGCGAAAACCTGACGAAACACCCTCAGAGCGAAGACCTGACAAAACGCCCTCACAGTGAAGACCAGACGAAACACCCTCAGAGTGAAGACCTGACGAAACACCCTCAGAGTGAAGACCTGACGAAACACCCTCAGAGTGAAGACCAGACGAAAATTCCTCAGAGCGAAGACCTGACGAAACACCCTCAGAGTGAAGCCCTGACGAAACACCCTCACAGTGAAGACCTAATGAAAGAGAGACCCTCACAGTGAAGACCTGATGAAAGACCCTCACAGTGAAGCCCTGATGAAAGACCCTCACAGTGAAGCCCTGATGAAAGACTCTCACAGTGAAGACCTGATGAAAGAGAGACCCTAACAGTGAAGACCTGATGAAAGACCCTCACAGTGAAGCCCTGATGAAAGACTCTCACAGTGAAGTCCTGATGAAAGAGAGACCCTAACAGTGAAGTCCTGACGAAAGACCCTCATAGTGAAGACCTGATGAAAGAGAGACCCTTACAGTGAAGACCTGATGAAAGACCCTCACAGTGAAGCCCTGATGAAAGACCCTCACAGTGAAGTCCTGACGAAAGACCCTCACAGTGAAGACCTGATGAAAGAGAAACCCTTACAGTGAAGACCTGATGAAAGACCCTCACAGTGAAGACCTGATGAAAGACCCTCATAGTGAAGACCTGATGAAAGAGAGACCCTCACAGTGAAGACCTGATGAAAGACCCTCACAGTGAAGACCTGATGAAAGAGACACCCATACAGTGAAGACCTGATGAAAGAGACACCCATACAGTGAAGACCTGACGAAACACCCTCACAGTGAAGACCCGACGAAACACCCTCACAATGAAGACCTGACAAAACACCCTCACAGTGAAGACCTTACAAAACACCCTCACAGTGAAGACCTGACGAAACACCCTCAGAGCGAAAACCTGACGAAACACCCTCAGAGCGAAGACCTGACAAAACGCCCTCACAGTGAAGACCAGACGAAACACCCTCAGAGTGAAGACCTGACGAAACACCCTCAGAGTGAAGACCTGACGAAACACCCTCAGAGTGAAGACCAGACGAAAATTCCTCAGAGCGAAGACCTGACGGAACACCCTCAGAGTGAAGCCCTGACGAAACACCCTCAGAGCGAAGACCTGACAAAACACCCTCAGAGCGAATCCCTGACGAAACACCCTCAGAGTGAAGCCCTGACGAAACACCCTCAGAGTGAAGCCCTGACGAAACACCCTCAGAGTGAAGACCTGACTTGACGAAACACCCTCAGAGTGAAGACCTGACGAAACACCCTCAGAGTGAAGACCTGACGAAACACCCTCAGAGTTAAGACCAGACGAAACTTCCTCAGAGCGAAGACCTGACGAAACACCCTCAGAGCGAAGACCTGACGAATCACCCTCAGAGTGAAGGCCTGATGAAACACCCTCAGAGTGAAGACCTGACGAAACACCCTCACAGTGAAGACCAGACAAAATACCCTCACAGTGAAGACCTGAGGAAACACCCTCACAGTGAAGACCTGATGAAAGACCCTCACAGTGAAGACCTAATGAAAGAGAGACCTTCACAGTGAAGACCTGATGAAAGACCCTCACAGTGAAGCCCTGATGAAAGACTCTCACAGTGAAGACTTGATGAAAGACCCTCACAGTGAAGCCCTGATGAAAGACTCTCACAGTGAAGACTTGATGAAAGAGAGACCCTAACAGTGAAGCCCTGACGAAAGACCTCACAGTGAAGACCTGATGAAAGAGAGACCCTCACAGTGAAGACCTGATGAAAGACCCTCACAGTTAAGTCCTGACGAAAGACCCTCACAGTGAAGACCTGATGAAAGAGAGACCCTTACAGTGAAGACCTGATGAAAGACCCTCACAGTGAAGACCTGATGAAAGACCCTCACAGTGAAGTCCTGACGAAAGACCCTCACAGTGAAGACCTGATGAAAGAGAGACCCTTACAGTGAAGACCTGATGAAAGACCCTCACAGTGAAGACCTGATAAAAGACCCTCACAGTGAAGACCTGATGAAAGAGAGACCCTCACAGTGAAGACCTGATGGAAGACCCTCACAGTGAAGACCTGATGAAAGAGAGACCCTCACAGTGAAGACCTGATGAAAGACCCTCACAGTGAAGACCTGATGGAAGACCCTCACAGTGAAAACCTGATGAAAGAGAGACCCTCACAGTGAAGACCTAATGAAATACCCTCACAGTGAAGACCTGATGAAAGAGAGACCCTCACAGTGAAGACCTGATGAAAGACCCTCACTGTGAAGACCTGATGAAAGATCCTCACAGTGAAAAGGTGCTAGGAGTCTGTGTAAGACATTTCCCAAAATTGTGCAGCTCTAAAACACAAACTGTTCGACCTCCAGTGAATGAACTGAAACAGGCGATAGCAGAGGACAGCCCTGAGTGACCTCCCACTGTGACACACACACTAACAGTTACACACACACACTAATAGTTACACACACACTAACACACTGACAGAGACACACACACACCCACACACTGACAGAGACACACACACTAACAGTTACACACGTTTTTAGTGTTAATTGTTGTGATCCTCAGCTGTGACACAGGAGGCCTCTCTTCAGGAGCTCGGCCCAGAGGCAAAATCTCCTCATTTAGACCAAGAGTGACCTTCTAATGCAACACACACACACACATACACACACACACACACACACACACGTACACGCACACGCACACACATACAGCTAATTACTCTGTTGTCAGTGGGACTAGTGAGATGATCCTCTTGTTTACAGAGCACAAGCACAAATCCAAACACACGCACACACACACACACACACACAAAATCAAAGACAAATATATCAATAAAGAAGCACTTAGTCGGTAATGTGTGTAATCATGTGTCTGAACGTATCCATCGACTTTATTCATGTTTCACACTGTGGACTTCAGACCAGAGGATGTGGTGCAGTGAGTCTGTGTGAGAGAAACCCTCGGGTCAGCGGAGGGAGAAACCCTCGTGTCATCCATCTTGTGAAACTTGTTGGCGTTGGCGAGCATCCGTATGTTCCTGACGCAGCCGGCCGCCATGAAGGCCACGTCCTCCTGAGGGTGTCCCATCAGCTCCAGCAGAGGCTACAGACACAGACACAGACACAGAGGGAGAGGCTTTAGAACACACAGAGACAGACACAAAGACAGACACAGAGATAGACACAGAGACAGAGACAGACACAGAGACAGACACAGAGACAGACACAGAGGGAGGCTTTAGAACACACAGAGACAGACACAGAGACGGACACAGAGGGAGGCTTTAGAACACACAGAGACAGACAGAGAGACAGACACAGAGATAGACACAGAGACAGACACAGAGACAGATACAGAGGGAGAGGCTTTAGAACACACAGAGACAGACACAGAGACAGACACAGAGATAGACACAGAGACAGACACAGAGACAGACACAGAGACAGACACAGAGACAGACACAGAGGGAGGCTTTAGAACACACAGAGACAGACAGAGAGACAGACACAGAGGGAGGCTTTAGAACACACAGACACAGAGACAGACACAGAGGGAGGCTTTAGAACACACAGACACAGAGACAGACACAGAGGGAGGCTTTAGAACACACAGAGACAGACACAGAGGGAGAGGCTTTAGAACACACAGAGACAGACACAGAGGGAGAGGCTTTAGAACACACAGAGACAGACACAGAGGGAGGCTTTAGAACACACAGAGACACAGAGACAGACACAGAGGGAGGCTTTAGAACACAAAGAGACAGACACAGAGGGAGGCTTTAGAACACAAAGAGACAGACACAGAGACAGACACAGAGGGAGAGGCTTTAGAACACACAGAGACACAGAGACAGACACAGACGCAGGCTTTAGAACACACAGAGACAGACACAGAGACAGAGGGATGCTTTAGAACACACAGAGACAGACACAGAGGGAGGCTTTAGAACACACAGAGACAGACACAGAGGGAGGCTTTAGAACACACAGAGACACAGAGACAGACACAGAGGGAGGCTTTAGAACACACAGAGACACAGAGACAGACACAGAGGGAGGCTTTAGAACACACAGAGACAGACACAGAGGGAGGCTTTAGAACACACAGAGACACAGAGACAGACACAGAGGGAGGCTTTAGAACACACAGAGACAACACAGAGACTGAGACTTTAGAACACAGAGAGAGAAAAAGTAGAGAGACATCAGAGAGTGGGTAGAAAAGGAGACCAGAGAGAGACCAGAGAGACCAGAGGGAGACCAGAGAGAGACCTGAGAGAGACCAGAAAGAGTGGAGAAAGAGACCAGAAAGAGACCAGAAAGAGAAACCAGAGAGAGAGTAGAGTGAGAGATAGACCAGAGAGAGTAGAGAGAGAGAGACCTGAGAGAGACCTGAGAGAGACCAGAGGGAGACCAGAGAGAGACCTGAGAGAGACCAGAGAGAGACCAGAGAGAAACCAGAGAAAGACCAAAGAGAGACCAAAGAGAGAGACCAGAGAGAGACCAGAGAAAGACCAAAGAGAGACCAAAGAGAGAGACCAGAGAGAGACCAGAGAGAATCACATAATAACAGACTATGGTAAGAGACACTTTCCAACATTAACAGTGAGAGCTTCACGCCCCCAAACACAGCTTGTGACGCTGTCGTTATAAACTTCAGTGTGTGAGGAGTGTGTAGAGTCTGAACCCTCTTCCTCTGAGCCATGTCGTTATAAACATCAGTGTGTGAGGAGTGTGTAGTGTCTGAACCCTCTTCCGAGCCATGTCGTTATAAACATCAGTGTGTGAGGAGTGTGTAGAGTCTGAACCCTCTTCCTCTGAGCCATGTCGTTATAAACATCAGTGTGTGAGGAGTGTGTAGAGTCTGAACCCTCTTCCTCTGAGCCATGTCGTTATAAACATCAGTGTGTGAGGAGTGTGTAGTGTCTGAACCCTCTTCCTCTGAGCCATGTTGTTATAAACATCAGTGTGTGAGGAGTGTGTAGTGTCTGAACCCTCTTCCTCTGAGCCATGTCGTTATAAACATCAGTGTGTGAGGAGTGTGTAGAGTCTGAACCCTCTTCCTCTGAGCCATGTCGTTATAAACATCAGTGTGTGAGGAGTGTGTAGAGTCTGAACCCTCTTCCTCTGAGCCATGTCGTTATAAACATCAGTGTGTGAGGAGTGTGTAGTGTCTGAACCCTCTTCCTCTGAGCCATGTCGTTGTAAACATCAGTGTGTGAGGAGTGTGTAGTGTCTGAACCCTCTTCCTCTGAGCCATGTCGTTATAAACATCAGTGTGTGAGGAGTGTGTAGTGTCTGAACCCTCTTCCTCTGAGCCATGTCGTTATAAACATCAGTGTGTGAGGAGTGTGTAGAGTCTGAACCCTCTTCCTCTGAGCCATGTCGTTATAAACATCAGTGTGTGAGGAGTGTGTAGTGTCCGAACCCTCTTCCTCTGAGCCATGTCGTTATAAACATCAGTGTGTGAGGAGTGTGTAGAGTCTGAACCCTCTTCCTCTGAGCCATGTCGTTATAAACATCAGTGTGTGAGGAGTGTGTAGAGTCTGAACCCTCTTCCTCTGAGCCATGTCGTTATAAACATCAGTGTGTGAGGAGTGTGTAGTGTCTGAACCCTCTTCCTTTGAGCCATGTCGTTGTAAACATCAGTGTGTGAGGAGTGTGTAGTGTCTGAACCCTCTTCCTCTGAGCCATGTCGTTATAAACATCAGTGTGTGAGGAGTGTGTAGTGTCTGAACCCTCTTCCTCTGAGCCATGTCGTTATAAACATCAGTGTGTGAGGAGTGTGTAGAGTCTGAACCCTCTTCCTCTGAGCCATGTCGTTATAAACATCAGTGTGTGAGGAGTGTGTAGTGTCCGAACCCTCTTCCTCTGAGCCATGTCGTTATAAACATCAGTGTGTGAGGAGTGTGTAGAGTCTGAACCCTCTTCCTCTGAGCCATGTTGTTATAAACATCAGTGTGTGAGGAGTGTGTAGTGTCTGAACCCTCTTCCTCTGAGCCATGTCGTTATAAACATCAGTGTGTGAGGAGTGTGTAGTGTCTGAACCCTCTTCCTCTGAGCCATGTCGTTATAAACATCAGTGTGTGAGGAGTGTGTAGAGTCTGAACCCTCTTCCGAGCCATGTCGTTATAAACATCAGTGTGTGAGGAGTGTGTAGAGTCTGAACCCTCTTCCTCTGAGCCATGTCGTTATAAACATCAGTGTGTGAGGAGTGTGTAGAGTCTGAACCCTCTTCCTCTGAGCCATGTCGTTATAAACATCAGTGTGTGAGGAGTGTGTAGTGTCTTAGTGTTTTAGTGAGTGTAAATTACAGCAGTATTTGGTCGGAGTGTTGACTTAAATATTTGCTTGTTTTGAAATGCTGCAGCAGAGTTGGAGCCATCAGGGACCGACGGAAACTCGTCTCTCATAAAACTGATAAAGTGACAAAGCAGCCGCCGCCTCCACAGTCACACTATATTTCCTAATCTGATTCACAGATGCCACAAAACAAGACGTGAGGAGGTTACATCATGACAGCGGAGTCCACCTCCACTCACAGGAAACACAGATAACCAGGGTTAGAACTCAGGCTATGTTATGGACAATCACAGCCTCTCTGGTCTCTCTTTGGTCTCTCTCTCTGGTCTCTCTCTGGTCTCTCTCTCTGGTCTCTCTCTGGTCTCTCTCTGGTCTCTCTCTGGTCTCTCTCTCTGGTCTCTCTCTCTGGTCTCTCTCTCTGGTCTCTCTGGTCTCTCTTTGGTCTCTCTCTGGTCTCTCTCTGGTCTCTCTCTCTGGTCTCTCTCTCTGGTCTCTCTTTGTTCTCTCTGGTCTCTCTTTGGTCTCTCTTTGGTCTCTCTCTGCTCTCTCTCTGCTCTCTCTGGTTTCTCTGGTCTCTCAAGTGTATGTGGTGTGTGTGTGTCTGGTGTGTGTGTGTGTGCGTGTCTTGTGTGTGTGGTGTGTGTGTGTCTGGTGTGTGTCTGTGTGTGGTGTGTGTGTGTGTGTGTGTACCTTGACGGCCCCGTTGCCGTGCAGACTCACACAGTTGTCCACGTCCTTGCTGAGTTGGTACAGTCCGACCACGGTGGTTTCGTGGACGCTCTGGTTATTGCTCCTCACGTACGACACCAGAGGAGGCACGGCGCCCGCTCGCCCGAACGCACCGCGGTTCTGGCTCCACATGCAGCAGTACGCTATGGCCTCCGCTAGGTGGCGCCGCAGCCGGTCGTCTGTCTGCAGGAGGTGAGGAGGGGAGGGGGGGTCAGGGAGGAGGTGATGAGGAGGTCAGGGAGGCGGTGGGGAGGGGGGGTCAGGGAGGAGGTGAGGAGGAGGTCAGGGAGGGGTGGGTCAGGGAGGAGGTGAGGAAGAGGTCAGGGAGGAGGTGATGAGGAGGTGATGAGGAGGTCAGGGAGGAGGTGGGGAGGGGGGGTCGGGGAGGAGGTGAGTCCAGATCTACAGCCTCAGTCCAGATCTACAGCCTCAGTCCAGATCTACAGCCTCAGTCCTGGGTCTACAGCCTCAGTCCTGGTCTACAGCCTCAGTCCTGGGTCTACAGCCTCAGTCCTGGTCTACAGCCTCAGTCCTTGGTCTACAGCCTCAGTCCTGGTCTACAGCCTCAGTCCTGGTCTACAGCCTCAGTCTGGACTCACGGTGCCGGTCAGCTTGGCCAGCAGAGGAACCACTCCGTAGTCTGTGAGCAGAGCCACATTCTCCTCTTTGTCCTCCGTGATCTTAGCGATGACCGCGCAGATACTGGCCAAGACCTGAGGAGAGAAGAGAGAGAGGAGAGAGGAGAAGGAGGAGAGAGAGGAGAGAGGTTTTAAAAGAGAAGAGAGGAGAAGGAGGAGAGAGAGGAGAGAGGAGAAAGAGGAGAGAGAAGAAGGAGGAGAGAGAGGAGAGAGGTTTTAAAAGAGAAGAGAGGAGAAGGAGGAGAGAGAGGAGAGAGAAGGAGGAGAGAGAGGAGAGAGGAGAAGGAGGAGAGAGAGGAGAGAGGAGACATGTGAGAGATGGAGAAAAAAAATGTCATGTCAAAAACAGATATATTTCCCTCTGAGTGGTTAGCACCCTCACTTGTTAACAAGGAGGTCCTGGGTTCAAAACCCTGTCAGAACAGGGCCTTTCTGAGTGGAGTTTACATGTTCTCCCTGTGTCTGCGTAGGTTTCCTCCGGGTGCTCTGGTTTCCCTATCACTAAAAACATGCACATTAGGCCTGGCATGTTCTTCCTGTAGACGACTGCTCCATCTCTGTGTGGAGTGACAGACAAATGGCCCACTCTGGTCTCTGACTGAAAGGCGCCATATAAATAAATATCACTTTTTGCACAGTTTCAGGTTCACCTCGTTGTCTGTGGATTCCAACAGTTTGATGAGCAGCTGGAAGCCTCCGATCAGACGCCGCATGGACTCGTCCACGTCCTGAGGATCAGGGTCATGTAAACGATGTCATCAGTGATGTCATCAGTGATGTCATCAGTGATGTCATCAGTGATGTCACAGGTCATGTACAGTACAGTATACAGTGTCTGACCTTCCCGTGGTGGATGACTGGACACAGGGCCCAGGCTGCACTGGCCTGGACCTCAGCACTGGGGTGTTTGAGCAGAGACCAGACCAGACGCAGGCCGTCCAGCTGGTCCATGATGCTGCAGGAGGGAGGTGGAAACCAGCTCAGTTTGTGATGTTTGTTAAGTGTGCTGCATAAACAGACTTACACCATGTTCTTCATGTCGGAGGCACAGATGCCCAGAGTGCGGGTCACGTTCACCAGCAGAGTCTGAGCAGAGGAGGAGTTTTTTAGGGCCTCGCTGTTTCATGGATTATTGTGTTGTTTACTGTATACTCCAACATTATATAACATCAGGTCACATGACATTTGTCTTTATCTAAAGTCAGAAGAAAACCTTTGTGACAGTTCAAAGGACTACTGCAGTCTTCTCATAGTCTTGGTCCAGATCTAGTCTTAAGTCTGATCTTGGTCTGGTCCTTGTCTTGGTCTAGTCTTTAGTCTTGGGTCTGTGTTTGGACAGAGGGGGCGGGGCACAGACCTGGTTCCTGCCCGTCAGCAGCCGCACCAGCTTCTCGATGCCTCCGCTCTGTCCGATCACTGTTCTGTTGGACGCAATGTGAGCGAACTCTCCCAAAGCCGCCACCACGTTCACCAGGACCTCCTCCGGCTGCTCCGAGAGGAGAGAGACCAGCTTCTGGAGGACTCCCACCTCCTGGAACCTGAGGGAGACACAGCTCTAAAGACAGCTCTAACATATCTCTAAGGTCCTGGTTCGAGAGGAGAGAGTGGACCTGGATTACTATTATGTGGGCAGGGCTTACAGGCAGTGGGCGGAGCTTATACTTAGCAGCAGGGCTTGAACACAGTGGGCGGGGCTTACTTGGTGACGTTCTTGCGGCTCAAGGAACACTTCCAGATGGCTCCGGTGGCGGCGCACAGCAGCTGTTTGTTGTGAGGTTTAGACAGAAGCAAAGCCAGACGCTGAGGCCCTTTGTACTGATGCACCAGATCCCGGGTCTTCTCATCCTCTGCACACTGCACACACCACACACAGGCTCCAACAGCAGTTCACTAAGAGGACCACCCCCACTCAGCCAATCAGCTCTCAGCACAAAGACTCAAGTCGTTCTAACATTTACATATTACACGTTCTCTAAAGAACATGTCAGTGATGGTGTCAGTGATGGTGTCAGTGATGGTGTCAGTGATGATGTCAGTGGTGGTGTCAGTGATGGTGTCAGTGGTGGTGTCAGTGATGGTGTCAGTGATGGTGTCAGTGATGGTGTCAGTGATGGTGTCAGTGATGGTGTCAGTGATGGTGTCAGTGATGGTGTCAGTGGTGGTGTCAGTGATGGTGTCAGTGATGGTGTCAGTGATGGTGTCAGTGATGGTGGTGGTGTCAGTAATGGTGTCAGTGATGGTGTCAGTGGTGGTGTCAGTGATGGTGTCAGTGATGGTGTCAGTGATGGTGTCAGTGATGGTGTCAGTAATGGTGTCAGTGATGGTGTCAGTGGTGGTGTCAGTGGTAGTGTCAGTGATGGTGTCAGTGATGGTGTCAGTGGTGGTGTCAGTGGTGGTGTCAGTGATGGTGGTGGTGTCAGTGATGGTGTCAGTGATGGTGTCAGTGATGGTGGTGGTGTCAGTGATGGTGTCAGTGATGGTGTCAGTGATGGTGTCAGTGATGGTGTCAGTGATGGTGTCAGTGGTGGTGTCAGTGATGGTGTCAGTGATGGTGTCAGTGATGGTGTCAGTGATGGTGTCAGTGATGGTGTCAGTGATGGTGTCAGTGATGGTGTCAGTGGTGGTGTCAGTGATGGTGTCAGTGATGGTGGTGGTGTCAGTGATGGTGTCAGTGATGGTGTCAGTGGTGGTGTCAGTGATGGTGTCAGTGATGGTATCAGTGATGGTGTCAGTGATGGTGTCAGTGATGGTGTCAGTGATGGTGTCAGTGATGGTGTCAGTGATGGTGTCAGTGATGGTGTCAGTGATGGTGTCAGTGATGGTGTCAGTGATGGTGTCAGTGGTGGTGTCAGTGATGGTGTCAGTGATGGTGTCAGTGATGGTGTTAGTGGTGGTGTCAGTGATGGTGTCAGTGATGGTATCAGTGATGGTGTCAGTGATGGTGTCAGTGATGGTGTCAGTGATGGTGTCAGTAATGGTGGTGGTGTCAGTGATGGTGGTGGTGTGAGTGATGATGTCAGTGGTGGTGTCAGTGATGGTGTCAGTGATGGTGTCAGTAATGGTGGTGTCAGTGGTGGTGTCAGTGATGGTGTCAGTGATGGTGTCAGTGGTGGTGTCAGTGATGGTGTCAGTAATGGTGGTGGTGTCAGTGATGGTGTCAGTGATGGTGTCAGTGGTGGTGTCAGTGGTGGTGTCAGTGATGGTGTCAGTGATGGTGTCAGTGGTGGTGTCAGTGATGGTGTCAGTGATGGTGATGGTGTCAGTGATGGTGTCAGTGATGGTGTCAGTGATGGTGTCAGTGATGGTGTCAGTGATGGTGTCAGTGGTGTTGTCAGTGGTGTTGTCAGTGATGGTGTCAGTGATGGTGTCAGTGATGGTGTCAGTGATGGTGTCAGTGATGGTGTCAGTGATGGTGTCAGTGATGGTGTCAGTGATGGTGTCAGTGATGGTGTCAGTGATGGTGTCAGTGATGGTGTCAGTGATGGTGTCAGTGGTGGTGTCAGTGGTGGTGTCAGTGATGGTGTCAGTGATGGTGTCAGTGATGGTGTCAGTGGTGGTGTCAGTGATGGTGTCAGTGATGGTGTCAGTGATGCTGTCAGTGATGGTGTCAGTGATGGTGTCAGTGATGGTGTCAGTAATGGTGGTGGTGTCAGTGATGGTGGTGGTGTCAGTGATGGTGTCAGTGATGGTGTCAGTGATGGTGTCAGTGATGGTGTCAGTGATGGTGTCAGTGGTGGTGTCAGTGGTGGTGTCAGTGATGGTGTCAGTGATGGTGTCAGTGATGGTGTCAGTGATGGTGTCAGTGATGGTGTCAGTGGTGGTGTCAGTGATGGTGTCAGTGATGGTATCAGTGATGGTGTCAGTGATGGTGTCAGTGATGGTGTCAGTAATGGTGGTGGTGTCAGTGATGGTGTCAGTGATGGTGTCAGTGATGGTGTCAGTGATGGTGTCAGTGATGGTGTCAGTGGTGGTGTCAGTGATGGTGTCAGTGATGGTATCAGTGATGGTGTCAGTGATGGTGTCAGTGATGGTGTCAGTAATGGTGGTGGTGTCAGTGATGGTGGTGGTGTCAGTGATGGTTTCAGTGATGGTGTCAGTGATGGTTTCAGTGATGGTGTCAGTGATGGTGTCAGTGATGGTGTCAGTGGTGGTGTCAGTGGTGGTGTCAGTGATGGTGTCAGTAACGGTGGTGGTGTCAGTGATGGTTTCAGTGATGGTGTCAGTGATGGTGTCAGTGATGGTGTCAGTGATGGTGTCAGTGATGGTGTCAGTGGTGGTGTCAGTGGTGGTGTCAGTGGTGGTGTCAGTGGTGGTGTCAGTGATGGTGTCAGTGATGGTGTCAGTGATGGTGTCAGTGGTGGTGTCAGTGATGGTGTCAGTGGTGGTGTCAGTTATGGTGTCAGTGGTGGTGTCAGTTATGGTGTCAGTGGTGGTGTCAGTGATGGTGTCAGTGATGGTGTCAGTGATGGTGTCAGTGGTGGTGTCAGTGATGGTGTCAGTGATGGTGTCAGTGATGGTGTCAGTGATGGTGTCAGTGATGGTGTCAGTGATGGTGTCAGTGATGGTGTCAGTGATGGTGTCAGTGATGGTGTCAGTGATGGTGTCAGTGATGGTGTCAGTGGTGGTGTCAGTGATGGTGTCAGTGATGGTGTCAGTGATGGTGTCAGTGATGGTGTCAGTGATGGTGTCAGTGATGGTGTCAGTGGTGGTGTCAGTGATGGTGTCAGTGATGGTGTCAGTGATGGTGTCAGTGGTGGTGTCAGTGATGGTGTCAGTGATGGTGTCAGTGATGGTGTCAGTGATGGTGTCAGTGATGGTGTCAGTGATGGTGTCAGTGATGGTGTCAGTGGTGGTGTCAGTGATGGTGTCAGTGATGGTGTCAGTGATGGTGTCAGTGATGGTATCAGTGATGGTGTCAGTGATGGTGTCAGTGATGGTGTCAGTGATGGTGTCAGTAATGGTGTCAGTAATGGTGGTGGTGTCAGTGATGGTGGTGGTGTCAGTGATGGTTTCAGTGATGGTGTCAGTGGTGGTGTCAGTGATGGTGTCAGTGATGGTGTCAGTGATGGTGTCAGTGATGGTGTCAGTAATGGTGGTGGTGTCAGTGATGGTTTCAGTGATGGTGTCAGTGATGGTGTCAGTGGTGGTGTCAGTGGTGGTGTCAGTTATGGTGTCAGTGGTGGTGTCAGTGATGGTGTCAGTGATGGTGTCAGTGATGGTGTCAGTGGTGGTGTCAGTGATGGTGTCAGTGATGGTGTCAGTGATGGTGTCAGTGATGGTGTCAGTGTGGTGTCAGTGGTGGTGTCAGTGATGGTGTCAGTGATGGTGTCAGTGGTGGTGTCAGTGATGGTGTCAGTGATGGTGTCAGTGATGGTGTCAGTGATGGTGTCAGTGATGGTGTCAGTGATGGTGTCAGTGATGGTGTCAGTGATGGTGTCAGTGATGGTGTCAGTGGTGGTGTCAGTGATGGTGTCAGTGATGGTGTCAGTGATGGTGTCAGTGATGGTGTCAGTGATGGTGTCAGTGATGGTGTCAGTGATGGTGTCAGTGATGGTGTCAGTGATGGTGTCAGTGATGGTGTCAGTGTGGTGTCAGTGATGGTGTCAGTGATGGTGTCAGTGATGGTGTCAGTGATGGTGTCAGTGATGGTGTCAGTGATGGTGTCAGTGATGGTGTCAGTGATGGTGTCAGTGATGGTGTCAGTGATGGTGTCAGTGATGGTGTGTCAGTGATGGTGGTGTGTCAGTGATGGTGTCAGTGATGGTGTCAGTGATGGTGTCAGTGATGGTGTCAGTGATGGTGTCAGTGATGGTGTCAGTGATGGTGTCAGTGATGGTGTCAGTGATGGTGTCAGTGATGGTGTCAGTGATGGTGTCAGTGGTGGTGTCAGTGATGGTGTCAGTGATGGTGTCAGTGTGGTTCAGTGTGTGATGTGGTGTCAGTGATGGTGTCAGTGATGGTGTAGTGAGTGTGTTCAGTGATGGTGTCAGTGATGGTGTCAGTGATGGTGTCAGTGATGGTGTCAGTGGGTGTCAGTGATGGGTGTCAGTGATGGTGTCAGTGATGGTGTCAGTGATGGTGTCAGTGGTGTGGTGTCAGTGATGGTGGTGTCAGTGATGGTGTCAGTGATGTCGTGTCAGTGATGGTGTCAGTGATGGTGTCAGTGATGGTGTCAGTGGTGAGTGGTGTCAGTGATGGTGTCAGTGTGGTGTCAGTGATGGTGTCAGTGATGGTGTCAGTGATGGTGTCAGTGATGGTGTCAGTGATGGTGTCAGTGATGGTGTCAGTGTGGTGTCAGTGGGTGTCAGTGTGGTGTCAGTGGTGGTGCAGTGATGGTGTCAGTGTGGTGTTGTGTGTGGTGTCAGTGATGGTGTCAGTGATGGTGTCAGTGATGGTGTCAGTGATGGTGTCAGTGTGGTGTCAGTGTGGTGGTGTGGTGTCAGTGATGGTGTCAGTGATGGTGTCAGTGATGGTGTCAGTGATGGTGTCAGTGATGGTGTCAGTGATGGTGTCAGTGATGGTGTCAGTGATGGTGTCAGTGATGGTGTCAGTGTGGTGTCAGTGATGGTGTCAGTGATGGTGTCAGTGATGGTGTCAGTGATGGTGTCAGTGATGGTGTCAGTGATGGTGTCAGTGTGGTGTCAGTGATGGTGTCAGTGATGGTGTCAGTGATGGTGTCAGTGATGGTGTCAGTATGGTGTCAGTGGTGTCAGTGATGGTGTCAGTGATGGTGTCAGTGTGGTGTCAGTGATGGTGTCAGTGATGGTGTCAGTGATGGTGTCAGTGATGGTGTCAGTGATGGTGTCAGTGATGGTGTCGTGATGGTGTGTGTCAGTGATGGTGTCAGTGATGGTGTCAGTGGTGGTGTCAGTGATGGTGTCAGTGATGGTGTCAGTGATGGTGTCAGTGATGGTGTCAGTGATGGTGTCAGTGATGGTGTCAGTGGTGGTGTCAGTGATGTGTCAGTGGTGGTGTCAGTGATGGTGTCAGTGATGGTGTCAGTGGTGGTGTCAGTGGTGGTGTCAGTGATGGTGTCAGTGATGGTGTCAGTGGTGGTGTCAGTGGTGGTGTCAGTGATGGTGTCAGTGATGGTGTCAGTGATGTGTGTGTGGTGTCAGTGATGGTGGTGGTGTCAGTGATGGTGTCAGTGATGGTGTCAGTGATGGTGTCAGTGATGGTGTCAGTGGTGGTGTCAGTGATGGTGTCAGTGATGGTGTCAGTGATGGTGTCAGTGATGGTGGGTGTCAGTGGTGGCGTCAGTGATGGTGTCAGTGGTGGTGTCAGTGATGGTGTCAGTGATGGTGTCAGTGGTGGTGTCAGTGATGGTGTCAGTGATGGTGTCAGTGATGGTGTCAGTGATGGTGTCAGTGATGGTGTCAGTGATGGTGTCAGTGGTGGTGTCAGTGGTGGTGTCAGTGGTGGTGTCAGTGGTGGTGTCAGTGATGGTGTCAGTGGTGGTGTCAGTGATGGTGTCAGTGATGGTGTCAGTGATGGTGTCAGTGATGGTGTCAGTGATGGTGTCAGTGATGGTGTCAGTGATGGTGTCAGTGGTGGTGTCAGTGGTGGTGTCAGTGATGGTGTCAGTGGTGGTGTCAGTGATGGTGTCAGTGATGGTGTCAGTGATGGTGTCAGTGGTGGTGTCAGTGGTGGTGTCAGTGATGGTGTCAGTGGTGGTGTCAGTGATGGTGTCAGTGATGGTGTCAGTGATGGTGTCAGTGGTGGTGTCAGTGGTGGTGTCAGTGGTGGTGTCAGTGATGGTGTCAGTGGTGGTGTCAGTGATGGTGTCAGTGATGGTGTCAGTGATGGTGTCAGTGATGGTGTCAGTGATGGTGTCAGTGATGGTGTCAGTGATGGTGTCAGTGGTGGTGTCAGTGGTGGTGTCAGTGATGGTGTCAGTGGTGGTGTCAGTGATGGTGTCAGTGATGGTGTCAGTGATGGTGTCAGTGATCGTGTCAGTGATGGTGTCAGTGGTGGTGTCAGTGGTGGTGTCAGTGGTGGTGTCAGTGGTGGTGTCAGTGATGGTGTCAGTGATGGTGTCAGTGATGGTGTCAGTGGTGGTGTCAGTGGTGGTGTCAGTGGTGGTGTCAGTGATGGTGTCAGTGATGGTGTCAGTGGTGGTGTCAGTGGTGGTGTCAGTGATGGTGTCAGTGATGGTGTCAGTGGTGTGTCAGTGGTGGTGTCAGTGGTGGTGTCAGTGTGGTGTCAGTGATGGTGTCAGTGATGGTGTCAGTGATGGTGTCAGTGATGGTGTCAGTGGTGGTGTCAGTGGTGGTGTCAGTGGTGGTGTCAGTGGTGGTGTCAGTGGTGGTGTCAGTGTGGTGTCAGTGATGAGTGTGTGTCAGTGGTGGTGTCAGTGATGGTGTCAGTGGTGGTGTCAGTGATGGTGTCAGTGATGGTGTCAGTGGTGGTGTCAGTGATGGTGTCAGTGGTGGGTCGTGTCAGTGTGGTGTCAGTGATGGTGTCAGTGGTGGTGTCAGCGGTGGTGTCAGTGATGGTGTCAGTGATGGTGTCAGTGTGGTGTCAGTGATGGTGTCAGTGATGGTGTCAGTGGTGGTGTCAGTGATGGTGTCGGTGGTGTAGTCAGTGGTGGTGTCAGTGGTGGTGTCAGTGGTGGTGTCAGTGGTGGTGTCAGTGATGGTGTCAGTGGTGGTGTCAGTGGTGGTGTCAGTGATGGTGTCAGTGATGGTGTCAGTGGTGGTGTCAGTGGTGGTGTCAGTGGTGGTGTCAGTGATGGTGTCAGTGGTGGTGTCAGCGGTGGTGTCAGTGATGGTGTCAGTGATGGTGTCAGTGATGGCGGTGGGACCTTGAAGATGGCGCTGGCCGAGTGCATCTGCAGCTCGTCGCTCGGGCTGCTGAGGCTGTGCACCAGGTCCTTGATCATTCCTCCGGAGCGGATGGCGTCTCTGTAACTCTCCTGGACACAATCAGCGGGGATTAGGGACTGTCTGCACAGCGGCTCAGAGCGCCGTCTGAGAGCTCAAGGATTCTCATCTCTATGCATTAGACACATCCACTGTAAATATAAGACCACACACTCGCTGCTGCAGGACTAATGTCATACAAACTTTACTGTGTAGAATAATGTCTGTGTAGAAACCAGAAACAGTCAAGTGATCACAGCCCCCAATGTAAGCTTTTTAATTACACAGGCAAAAAAACAAGAGAGTTCAACTGATACAACTATTTCAGCTAAATACAACACAGCTCTAAAGACAACTCCATTGTTTCCCACACATACAGTAGGCTAATCTGTGGCGCCAGAACAAGCCTGGGGGTCGCCTCTGGGCACCTCGTCACGACTTCCAGCCGTGGAAGTCTCCGCTAATAGTGCCTCTCACAGATGTATTATCGTGCCTACAGAAACAAGTTGGAGAGGCCTTTTTCTTGTGTTTGTTAAACAAGAGAGCAGGGGAGACGAGAGAAAGCAAGGGAGACATACAGTAGCCCCTGCCCCCTCCCCCCCTCCCCGGTCTCTCTCTGGCCTCTCTCTGCTCTCTCTCTGCTCTCTGTCTGGTCTTTCTCTGGTCTCTCTCTCTCTGCTCTCTCTCTAGCCTCTCTCTGCTCTCTCTCTGGTCTCTCACTGGTCTCTCTGTGCTCTCTCTATGGTCTCTCTCACTGGTCTCTCTCTTCTCTCTCTCTGATCTCTCTCTGGTCTCTCTGTTCTCTCTCTGGTCTCTCTGATCTCTCTCTCTGGTCTCTCTCTGCTCTCTCTCTCTATGGTCTCTCTCTGGTCTCTGCTCTTTCTCTCTGATCTCTCTGATCTCTCTCTCTGGTCTCTCTCTGCTCTCTCTCTCTATGGTCTCTCTCTGGTCTCTGCTCTTTCTCTCTGCTTTCTCACCTCAGAGGCACACTCCTGCAGCGTTCCGATCACTGGGATCAGCATGTTGGTGTTAGTGGAGCTCAGTAGACGTCCTAACAGAGGGATTCCTCCGGCTCTGAGAATGGCCTCTTTGTTCCTGTGGCTCCGGCTGCAGCTCCACAGAGCCAGGGCCCCACAGCGAGCAGCCTCCACATTCAGGTGCTCTGTGGAGGACATTGAGTCTGGGACGCAGCAGTCCAACAGGCGCACCTGTAGGACACAGCCTGTGTGAGTTAGCTCTTCTCGGTTTGTATCAGAAGAAAGAAACAGACACTTCCAAAATGGTGAGAGTGACACAAACGGTTGCTGAGCTCGAGGAGTTTACTTTTACATGGAAGTCAATAGGAGCCAGACAGAGATGGAGCCAAACTTTGTCCGTGAGCACTTCACTAATTAATTTCATTGAGCTAGCTGGTTAGCATCGTCCATCTGTATACTGTCTGTGTTAGCCTCATCCATACAGTCTGTGTTAGCATTGTCCATCTGTATACAGTCTGGGTTAGCATTGTTAGCATTGTCCATCTGTATACAGTCTGTGTTAGCATTGTCCATCTGTAAACAGTCTGTGTTAGCATTGTCCATCTGTAAACAGTCTGTGTTACCATTGTCCATCTGTATACAGTCTGTGTTAGCATTGTTAGCATTGTCCATCTACAGTATATACAGTATGTGTTAGCATTGTTAGCATTGTCCATTTGTATACAGTCTTACAGCCACTCATACAGGCTTCAGATTGATTCAGGACCAAGCCGCCACTTTCTCACAGAGATGTTGGCCTCTCACCAGTTTGGGGATGCCGTCGCAGTGCCGCAGAGTTCTTCTGGCTTTGCGGAGCTTGGTCACGTTGGCCAGAGTCTCTGCGGCCAGAGCCTGGAGCTCCGGGAGAGCGATGTCCAGCAGAGGGACCAGGCTCTGGACTCCACGCAGCTTGAGCATGGAGCGCTGGATCTGAGGGCTGTGGCTGATCAGACGCAGGATCTTCAGAGAGCCGATCTGTACATGACACAAGCTTACATTGCACTGAGGCTTAAAGCTGAGTTACCTGACTTCAAAGGTTAAATGTTGTGGACAAATCAGACCACAACATGCCGTGTTCATCTTATTCGAAAACCTGTTATCTTTTGTGTAATAAAGAGCCGCGTTATTTGCTATCTGATTCTTTGGGCTGAGAGACCTTTGGCTGGTTCTCTGGACTCCCTCTGATCCCTGTCTCTGCTCTCTGGTCTCTCGGGTCCCTCACCTCTGGTCTCTCTCTGGTCTTCCTCTCCCCCTCAACTCTCTCTCTGGTCTCTTTCTCTGGTCTCTCTCTCTAGTCACTCTCTCTGGTCCCCTATTTTGTGTATGTTATGTGTGTGTGTGTAAGTGTGTGTCAGTGTGTATCTGTGTCTGTCTCTCTGTGTGTGTTTGTGTGCGTGTGGGTGTAAGTAAGTAAGTAATGTATATTTACATAGTGCATTTTACAGACCAAGGTCACCCAAAGCACTTTACAATTGTTCAGAGTTCAGATAGTTATTCCATTCTCTCCACACGGTGACCGAACACACTGGACCATCAGAGTGTGTCAGTGTGTGTCAGTGTGTGTGTCTTTCTCTGTATGTAACTCTCTTCACTCACGATGCAGCGGATCTCTCTGGTGTCCAGGATGTTGAGCAGAACCTCCAGTCCTCCCAGGTCTCTGATGGCGAGCTGGAAGGCCTCCTGCTTCAGGTCCAGCTCCATCAGAGAGCAGACGGTCAGCACGGTCACCTTCTGATCGCCCTCCTGTCCCACACACACACACACACACACACACACACTGGGGTCACATCTACAGAGGACCAATGAGGCTAAGGAGAGGAGAGAGGAGAGAGGAGAGAGGAGAGAGGAGAGAGGAGAGAGGAGAGAGGAGAGAGGAGAGAGGTGAGAAGAGAGAGGAGAGAGGAGAGAGGAGAGAAGAGAGAGAGAGAGGTAAGAGGAGAGAGGTGATAGAGGAGAGAGGTGACAGAGGAGAGAGGAGAGAAGAGAGAGAGAGAGGTAAGAGGAGAGAGGTGATAGAGGAGAGAGGTGATAGAGGAGAGAGGTAAGAGAGGAGAGAGGTGAGAGAGGAGAAAGGAGAGAGGTGAGAGGTGAGAGAGGAGAGAGGAGAGAGAGAGAGGTAAGAGGAGAGAGGTGATAGAGGAGAGAGGTGATAGAGGAGAGAGGTAAGAGAGGAGAGAGGTGAGAGAGGAGAAAGGAGAGAGGTGAGAGGTGAGAGAGGAGAGAGGAGAGAAGAGAGAGGTAAGAGGAGAGAGGTGAGAGAGGAGAGAGGTGAGAGAGGAGAGAGGAGGAGAGTGGAGAAAAGAGACATGAGAGAAGAGAGTAGACAAGTGTCCTGTTGTGTTCTTGCTGAAGAGTGAGTTCTGACCCGCAGATACTTGATGAGCTTCTGCAGCCGGAGCTGCTCTGATGGGAGGTCTGTGCTGGTCTCTGTGCGTCTCTCCTCCTCCTCCTCCTCCTCTTCACTCTCAGGAGAACTGTCACTCTGGAGCTCTCGGAGCCTGGAGCGCGCAGGGGTCCGACTGGAGACGCACGCACACACACACACACATACACACATACACACACACACACACACACACACACACAGAGACACACAGACACACACACAGATGTTTTACCAGGCCCCACTGTTTAGATGAACAAACATTTTGCTTGGTTTTAGTTTTTATATCCTCATGTATTTAAACTTCAAAATAAAGCCAATGTTGTGGTAAGTACTCGAAGGAACAGTTTTATACATTATTATCTAAATTATACCTTTTATCATTCATTTATGACCCACTTTTTACAAAGCAACAGTCGGTCTATGTCAGTTGTCAAAAATGTTCCTTTACATTCGTAAAATGGCCGGCAAAGGTGTCTGTATGGGTGTATCTGTTTGATTGGTTGCCGCACAGGAGCGAGGAAGTCAAGGGAATGTCATCTCCTGCGTTTGCCGAATGCTTTCAGACCCCCTACACACGTCTCTGCCGCGGCGCAGCAATGCATCTGGCACCGGACAAACGCACTGCGGACAAACGCACTGCGGACAAACGCACTGCAGACAAACGCACTGCGGACAAACGCACTGCGGACAAACGCACTGCAGACAAACGCACTGCAGACAAACGCACTGCAGACAAACGCACTGCAGACAAACGCACGGCGGACAAACGCACTGCGGACAAACGCACTGCGGACAAACGCAATGCGGACAAACGCACTGCGGACAAACGCACTGCGGACAAACGCACTGCAGACAAACGCACGGCGGACAAACGCACTGCGGACAAACGCACTGCGGACAAACGCACTGCGGACAAACGCACTGCGGACAAACGCACTGCGGACAAACGCACTGCGGACAAACGCACTGCGGACACACGCACTGCGGACAAACGCACTGCGGACACACGCACTGCGGACACACGCACTGCGGACAAACGCAATGCGGACAAACGCACTGCGGACAAACGCACTGCGGACAAACGCAATGCGGACAAACGCACTGCGGACACACGCACTGCGGACACACGCACTGCGGACAAACGCAATGCGGACAAACGCACTGCGGACAAACGCACTGCGGACAAACGCAATGCGGACAAACGCACGGCGGACAAACGCACTGCGGACAAACGCACTGCGGACAAACGCACTGCGGACACACGCACTGCAGACAAACGCACTGCGGACACACGCACTGCGGACAAACGCACTGCGGACACACGCACTGCGGACAAACGCACTGCAGACAAACGCACTGCGGACACACGCACTGCGGACACACGCACTGCGGACAAACGCACTGGTACGTCACCATTGACTTTGCTTTGAATGTGGCCGCAGTGTGTTGTGAACGCCACATTATTTTCCTGACTCTGCATCAGCTCTGAGACGACACCTTTTCTGTGGAGAGTAACGTTCAGGGGACGACGTCAGCGAGAAGTCGGCTTTGGACTTTGCTTTGTCTGGTTTTCTACAACAGAACAGAGGAATCAGAGGTGAGACTATGTATAGACACACACACAGACAGACACACACACTCACAGACAGAAACACAAACACACGCTTACAGACAGAAACACAAACACACACAAACACACAGACACACACACTCACAGACACAGACACACACACACACACACAGAGACACACAGACAGAAACACAAACACACAGACACACACAAACACACAGACAGAGACACACAGACACACACAGACAGATAGACACAAACACACAGACAGAGACACACAGACACACACACACACAGACACACACAGACAGATAGACAGAAACACACACACACACACATAGAGACACACAGACAGAAACACAAACACACAGACACACACAAACACATAGACAGAGACACAAACACACAGACAGAGACACACAGACACACACACACCGGCTGTCAGACAGGAGACCGGTCCAAGGCTCCTGGTTTCTCCTCAGAGGTTGTCTGGAGTCCTACAAAACACAGGGAACTGTGCTTAATATGAGTTTTATTCATAGAATATTTAATAATAACAATCACAATAATGATGCCATTTTACACTCCAAGACTGTTCATTATTCATTCACTCCAAACACACTGGCGATAAACTTCTGTAGCCATCAGCCCCTTCCACCACCACCACCAACCATTCACACAGAATCAAACCTAGGACCTTCTTGCAGAGAGGTGAGAGTGCTAACCACTCAGCCACCATAGAGAGATCAGAGGAGAGACCACGAGAGACCAGAGAAAGACCAGAGAGAGACCAAAGAGACCTGAGAAAGACCAGAGAGAGACCAGAGACCAGAGTGAACAGGGTGTCCCAAGAAAGACCAGAGAGACCAGAGATAATTCTAACTATTTCTATATATTTCACAGCCTCTGGGGTGTGACTGGTCTGAGGCGGGGGACTCCTGATGTGGACATAATTGCCTCTTTTAACACGTTTGTGACGGTGAACTCTGTTTATGGATCCTTTTTGAGTTTGTGTGTGTGTGTGTGTGTTTGTAGTTGTTTACCTCTTTGTGGATGTTTTGGCTGAAGTGGCTGGACCTGCTCTTCAGAAGTGATGTGAGGTCTTCAAACGTGTCGCTGATCGACTCGTAATCGCTGTCGTCTGCTTCAAACTGCTGCACGCCCTGTTCACATCACACACTTTAGTCTGTGTGAGGGACAAAAACAACTGAGAGAGACCAGAGCGAGACCAGAGAGAGACCACAGAGAGACCAGAGAGAGACCAGAGAGAGACCAGAGAGGGACCAGAGAGAGACCAGAGAGAGACCAGAGCAAGACCAGAGAGAGACCACAGAGAGACCAGAGAGAGACCAGAGAGAGACCAGAGAGGGACCAGAGAGAGACCAGAGAGAGACCAGAGCAAGACCAGAGAGAGACCACAGAGAGACCAGAGAGAGACCAGAGAGAGACCAGAGAGGGACCAGAGAGAGACCAGAGAGAGACCAGAGAGAGACCAGAGAGGGACCAGAGAGGGACCAGAGAGAGACCAGAGAGAGATCAAAGAGAGATCAAAGAGAGACCAGAGAGAGACCAGAGAGAGACCAGAGGGAGACCAGAGAGGGACCAGAGAGAGACCAGAGAGAGACCAAAGAGAGACCAGAGAGGGACCAGAGAGAGACCAGAGAGAGACCAAAGAGAGACCAGAGAGGGACCAGAGAGAGACCAGAGAGAGACCAAAGAGAGACCAGAGAGAGATCAAAGAGAGACCAGAGAGAGACCAGAGAGAGACCAAAGAGAGACCAGAGAGAGATCAAAGAGAGACCAGAGAGGGACCAGAGAGAGACCAGAGAGAGACCAGAGAGGGACCAGAGGGAGATCAGAGACATATTTTTCAGAAGGACAAGAGAAAACGGTTTTCCTTTATTGTGTGTAAATGACAACAAGATCCGGTCGCAAGGCGGGTTGGATGCCGGGTCATTCTAACACACCAGCCTGTGTCTTCATTGTGGGAATGAGGCTTGTGAATTTACATAATATTTACATTATTGTGTTATCCATGGTGAAGGGGTGGAAGTGGTGGAGAAGTACAAATATCTTGGTTCTTGGATGGACAACAAGTTGCGGTTTGACGCAAATACAGACTCCGTTTTTAAACGCGGTCAGCAGAGAATCTATCTTCTAAGGAAGCTGAACTCTTTTAATGTAAATAAAAGGATTATCTGCAACTTTTACTGCTGTTTTATAGAGAGCCTATTAACATTTTCATTTGTTTGCTGGTTCAAGGGTTTGTCTGTGAAAGATAAAAACAAACTGCAAAATATTATCAAAATCTGCTCTAAAATTATTGGTGTTAAACAAAGAGACCTACAGTCTCTTTGGGAGGAGCAGGCGCTAAAGAAAGCTAAATGTATCTTGGGTCAGCCTCTCCATGCTCTGTCCTCTGAGTTTTCGCTCATGCCTTCTGGACGTCGTTTTTATGTACCCTCTCGGAAAACAAATCGTTTCGCCAACTCTTTTGTCCCCTCTGTCACTAAACTGTTGAATTCTGAAGGGAGTGTGTTTATTAAGTGACACCGACCTTTGTGAAATGTGTCGTTTTCTTTTAATTATTTGCTATTGTCTGTACTGTTGGAAGTGACACACAGTGAGTGTTGTGATGTGTTTGTACAACATCTGTCGGAGGTTGCAGCAAATCAATTGCCCTTAAGGGATCAATAAAGTTTTCTGAATCTGAATCTGAGAGAGAGACCAGAAAGACCAGAGAGAGACCAGAGAGAGACCAGAGGAGAGAGACCAGATAGAGAGCAGAGAGAGACCAGACCCCCCAAGGGGTATATATAACACGGGGGGGGGGGGTGGGGGGGGGGGGGGGGGGGGGGGGGGTCACCAAGAGAGACAAGGTAGAGACCAGAGAGAGACCAAGAGAGAGAGCGATAGTGAGAGAGAAAGAGAGCTTACATGGAAACAGTGACGTAACTATTCGACAAACGCAGACGTCTCATTGGCTGTTGAGAGGGTGACCTCACCGTTGCCGTGGGTGATGGCGCGCGGGCGGCTGTTCTCCGGCGTGGCGCACCGCCACTCCTCGCGCACCTCCACCGTGAACGTGTGAACGGGCATCGTCGCTCGTAGTCCAGCGGCTGCAGAGGACACAGGACCGGTTAGACTTTTATCTGGGGTTAGTCTCAGTAGGACCAGACCATGACCAAGACCAAGACCAAGACCAAGACCAAGACCAGGACCAGGACCAGACCAGGACCAGGACCAAGACCAAGACCAGGACCCAGAGCAGGACCAAGACCAGGACCAAGACCAAGACCAAGACCCAGGACCCAGAGCAGGACCCAGAGCAGGACCAAGACCAGGACCAAGACCAAGACCAAGACCAAGACCAAGACCAGACCCAGAGCAGGACCAAGACCAGGACCAGGACCAGGACCAGACCAAGACCAAGACCAAGACCAAGACCAGGACCCAGACCAAGATCAGGACCAGGACCAGGACCAAGACCAGTACCAAGATCAGGACCAGGACCAAGACCAGGACCAGTACCAAGACCAAGACCAGGACCAGACCAGTACCAGGACCAAGACCCAGACCAAGACCAGGACCACACCAGCACCAGACCCAGACCAGGACCAGGACTAGGACCCAGAATAGGACCAAGACCCAGACCAGGACCAAGGACCAGGACCCAGACCAAGACCAGGACCAAGACCAGGACCAGTTGTGAGAGCTGCCTTGGTGTTCAGGTCTTTAAGGTCACGGCGACTTCAGTCTGGTCTCTGTTGTTTGGACTAGCTAACATCCGTCTTTTGTCAAATATAAAGTATTCTGTAACTCTGGAAAAAACTCTGACTAAAGTCTGGGATAAACTGAAAAAACTCCAGAGAAATACTGGAGAAACGCTGGAAAAAACTTTGAGAAAACTCTAGAATCTCTGAAAAACTGTAACAGCCAGAAACTGAAATAAAACGCCAACGGGCAATCCGTCTATAAGTCTCTGTCATTTGTCCACTTTAGGACCAGGACCAGGACCAGGACCATAGACCAGGACCAAGACCAAGACCAGGACCAAGACCAAGACCAAGAGCCGGACAAAAAAAGAACAGTCAAGAGCCCTGGTTATGTTTTACATCTATTTCTCCAACAAACTCTAAATAATGAGTCTGTCCATCTGTAAATGTTTCAGAGCAAAACAAACTCATGTCGTGATAAAAGCCAAAGAAAAAAGTCATGTGCAGGATTATTATTTGTTATTTTTTACTGAATAATTCTGCGTCCGTGCGGCGTCAGAGTGAGCGGTGGTTACGGGCCCCGGCCCCATCTTGGTCCCACTCGCTCAGAGAGGTTTAAACATTCAACACATTCAACAACACGACTCCTGACTGCATTATTCATCAGCTCAGACAAACATCCAACCCCTGGGCGATGGGGAGAACAAGCAACGCAAATGAATCTAAAACCAGCGCCGTTTAGAACGCAACTCGCAGCAAAAGAGAAATTATACAAATACACTAATAGTTTCTGTGTAAACAAGATGGATCCTCTGTGCCCAGCGAGGAGGCGAGAAGGAGGAAGCAGAGGGTTGGGTCTTGCAGCGAGGTCCGAGGATTTAAGGTGGACTGTGTCGATCCCTGTGGGGCAAATCCACCTCTGCATTTGACCCACCAGACGCGCTAAGGCTTAGGCAGGAGCAGTGGTCGCCGTGGTAACAGCGCCCGGGGGGACCCAGCTCCAGGGGTGTGCTCGGCTGGGTCAGGACCAGAGCGGAGGATTTGATGTGTTGGGAATGTTTGATGTGTTGGGAATGTTCTTTTAGTAGGGGGACCGGGAGCACCTGGAGGAAACCTAGGCAGGCACGGAGAGAACATGCAAAAACTCCACTCAGGAAAGGCCCAATGAGGGTATGTTTTAAGTTCTGAGCTTCAAGTCCCATCTGTTTTAGCGTGTGATAGGGACCACCGTCTGCACCTGTGTACTCTCTCCTCCTGAGTACCGGCTCTCCCCGTCTGCACCTGGGTACTCTCTCCTCCGTCTGCACCTGTGTACTCTCTCCTCCGTCTGCACCTGTGTACTCTCTCCTCCGTCTGCACCTGTGTTGACTCTCCCCCGTCTGCACCTGTGTACTCTCTCACCCCCGTCTGCACCTGTGTACTCTCTCCCCCGTCTGCACCTGTGTACTCGCTCCCCCGTCTGCACCTGTGTACTCTCTCCTCCGTCCGCACCTGTGGACTATCTCTCCCTGACCCCGCTTCCTCCTCGCACCTGTGACTCTCTCCTCCTGACACCTCGCTCCTCCGGGGTGCACCTGTGGTACTCTCTCCTCCGACTGCACCTGTGTACTCTCTCCCCCTGACCCCGCTCTCACCCGTCTGCACCTGTGTACTCCTCCCCCCTGACCCCGCTCTCCCCTGTCTGCACCTGTGTACTCTCTCCCCCTGTGACCCCGCTCTCCCCCGTCTGCACCTGTTGTACTCATCTCCCCCTGACCCCCGCTCTCCTCCGTCTGCACCTGTGTACTCTCTCCCCCTGACCCCGCTCTCTCCCGTCTGCACCTGTGTACTGCGCTCCCCCTGACCCCGCTCTCCTCCGTCTGCACCTGTGTACTCCTCCGCCGTCTGCACCTGTGTACTCTCTCCCCTCTGCACCGTGTAAGCGCTCTCCCCCGTCTGGCACCTGTGTACTCTCTCCCCAGTCTGCACCTGTGTACTCGCTCCCCCGCGCTACCTGTTACTCTCTCCTCCGTCTGCACCTGAGGGGACGATCTCTCCCTGACCCCGCTCTCCTCCGTCTGCACCTGTGGACTCTCTCCTCCTGACACCTCTCTCCTCCGTCTGCACCTGTGTACTCTCTCTCCTGCCGTCTGGATCCTGTGTACTCGCTCCGACCTAACTCCCCACGCTCGCCGCCACCTGTGGACTCTCTCCCCCTTACCCCGATCTAACTTAGTGTCCTGGCACCGTGTTCCTCTCCCCCTGACCCCCGATCTCCCCCGTCTGCACCTGTGTACTCTCTCCCCCTGACCCCGGACTCTCCGTCCGTCAGCACCTGTGTACTCTCTCCCCCTGACCCCGCTGCTCTCCCGTCTTCACCTTGTACTCTCATCCCCACTGACCCCGCTCTCCTCCGTCTGCACCTGTGTACTCTCTCCCCCGTCTGCACCTGTGTACTCTCTCCCTACCTGCACTGTGTACATCTCTCCTCCGACTTTTTCTGTGCCCACCTGTGACGAATATCTCTCCTACCCGCTCTCCTCCGTCTGCACCTGGTTACTCTCTGCCCCTGACCCCGCTCTCACCCGTCTGCACCTGGTACTCTCTCCCCCTGACCCCGCTCTCTCCCGTCGGCACTGTGTACTCTCTCCTCCTGATACCGCTCTCCCCGTCTGCACCTGTGTACTCTCTCCTCCTCTGCCTACCTGTGTTACTCTCTCCCCCGTCTGCACCTGTGTACTCTCTCCCCCATCTGCACCTGTGTACTCTCTCCCCGTCTGGCACCTGGTTCGGACTCTCTCGCCTCGGCACCTGTGTACTACTCTCCTCCCGTCTGCACCTGTGTACTCTCTCCCCCCTGACCCCGCTCTCCCCCGTCTGCACCTGTGTTACTCTCTTCCCCCTGACCCGCTCTCTCACCGTCTGCACCTGTCGTGGACTATTCTCTCCCTGACCCCGCTCTCCTCCGTCTGCACCTGTGGACTCTCGGCCTCTCGCTGACCGCCGCCCCTCCCCCGTCTGCACCTGTGTACTCTCTCCCCGTCTGCACCTGTGGTACTCTCTCCTCGTACTGCATCCTGTGTACTCTCTCCCCCCTGACCCCGCTCTCTCCGTCTGCACCTGTGTAGCTCTCTCCCCCTGACCCCCGCTCTCCACATCCCGTCTGCACCTTGGTACTCTCTCCTCCTGATACCGCTCCTCCCCTGTCTGCGCACCTGTGTACTCTCTCCTCCGTCTGCACTGTGTACTCGTCTCCGTCCCGTCTGCACCTGTGTACTCTCTCCCCCCCCCATCTGCACCGTGTACCTCTCTCCCCCGTCTGCACCTGTGTACTCTCTCCCCGTCTGCACCTGTGTACTCTCTCCCCCGTCTGCACCTGTGTACTCTCCTCCCCCTGACCCCGCTCTCCCCCCGTCTGCACCTGTGTACTCTCTCCCCGTTCTGCACCCCGTGAGCTCTCACCCGTCTGCACCGTGGTACGTCTCTCCCCCTGACTCCCATGCTCTCTCCCGTGCTGCACCTGTGTACTCTCTCCCCCTGACCCCTGCTCTCGACCCCGTCATGCACCTGTACTTCTCTCCCCCTGACCCCGCTCTCTTCCGTCTGCACCTGTGTACTCTCTCACCGGTGACCCTGACCCCGCTCTCTCCCGTCTGCACCTGTGTACTCTCTCCCCCTGACCCCGCTCTCTCCCGTCTGCACCTGTGTACTCTCGCCCCCTGAAACCCCCGCTCTCTCCCGATCTGCACCTGTGTACTCTCTCCCCCTGACCCCGCTCTCGTCCCGTCTGCACCTGTGTACTCTCTCCCCCTGACCCCGCTCTCTCCCGTCTGCACCTATGTACTCTCTCCCCCTGACCCCGCTCTCTCCCGGTCTGCACCTGTGTACTCTCTCCCCTGACCCCGCTCTCTCCCGTCTGCACCTGTGTACTCTCTCCCCCTGACTGACCCGAGCGACTCTCTCCTCCGTCTGCACCTGTGTACTCCTCCTCCGTCTGACACCTGTGTACTCTCTCCCCCGGCTGCACCTGTGTACTCTCTCCCCCCTGGCCCCCTCTTCTCTACTGCGCCCCGTACTCTCACCCCCTGTACCCGCTCTCTCCGTCTGCACCGGTGGACTCTCTCCTCCTGACCCCTCTCTCTCCGTCCTGCACCGGTGTACCCTCTCTCCTCCGTCCTGCACCTGTGTACTCTCTCCCCCCGACCACCGCTCGTCGTCCCCTGCACCTGTGTACACTCTCTGCCCCCGGACCCCGTGACTCGCCCCTGTCTGCACCTGTGTACTCTCTCCCCCTGACCCCGCTCTCTCCCCGTCTGCACCGGTGTACATCTCTCCCCCTGACCCCGCACTCGGCTCCGTCCTGCACCTGTGTACTCTTCTCCCCCTGACCCCGCTCTCCTCCCGTCTGCACCTGTGTACTCTCTCCCCCTGACCCCGCTCTCCCCCGTCTGCACCTGTTGTACTCTCTCCCCCTGACCCCGCTCTCCTCCGTCTGCACCTGTGTACTCTCTCCCCCTGACCCCGCTCTCACGCCTCCGTCTGGCACCTGTGTACTCCCCCCCGCTCTCCTCCGTCTGCACTGTGTACTCTCTCCCCTGACCCCGCTCCGCCCCGTCTGCACCTGTGTTACTCTCTCCCCCTGACCCCGCTCTCCCCTGTCTGCACCTGTGTAACTCTCTCCCCCTGACCCCGGCTCCATCCCCTGTCGTGCCCACCTGTGTACTCTCTCCCCCTGACCCCGCTCTCCCCCGTCTGCACCTGTGTACTCTCTCCACCCTGACCCCAGCTCTCCCCTGTCGCACCTGTGTACTCTCTCCCGCCCTGTACCCCGCCTCCCTCCGTACTGCACCTGTGTAACGCTCTCCCTGACCCCTCTCTCCTCCGGCGGCACCTGTGTACTCTCTCCCCCGACCCGCGCTCTCCCCCGTCTGAGCACCTGTGTACTCCTCTCCCCCTGACCCCGCTCTCCCTCCCGTCTGCACCTGTGTACTCTCTCTCCCCTGAACCCCGCTCCACCCGCTCTCCCCCCTACGCTTCTCCGCACCTGTGTACTCTCTCCCCTGACCCCGCTCTCCCCGTCTGCACCTGTGTACTCGCTCCCCCTGAGACACCCGCTCTCCTCCGTCTGCACCTGGGGATACTCGCTCCCCCCTGACCGCCAGCGCGCTCCCGTCTGCACCTGTGTACTCTCTCCCCCCCTGTACCCCGCTCTCCTCTTCTGCACACCTGTGTACTCTCGTCCCACCGTCTGCACCTGTGGACTCTCCCTCTCGCCCCCTCTGGCACCTGTTGTACTCAGCTCCTCCGTCTGCACCTGTGTACGTCTCTCCCCCTGACCCCGTGCTCTCTCCCGACTGCACCTGGGTGTACTCCTCGTCCTCCGTCTGCACCTGTGACTCTCTCCCCCTACCCCGGCTCTCGTCGCCGCCTGGTCACCTGTGTACTCTCTCGCCCCTGACCCCCGAGCCTGGAGGTCGGGGAGGAGGCCATCAGTCCTCGGTGGATACACCCGGAGTCCTGCATCCACATGCCGCTCTGTCCCGTAGTGTTTCTCACCTTCAGTAGTGTTCCTCTGAATCAGTAGAGGCAGATAATGACAGAGATGGATCCAGGACTCCTTATGGACTCATGGCCCGGGTGGCCAGGGTCCCCAAAACCATCTTCGTCCTAAGAGCTACTTTTGGACAACAGAAGAGGCAGAGAGCTACGCGCTTGTTTTTGCAGGCCGGAATAACATTCTGTGAAATGGGGGGGGGGTGTGTATGTTGGGGGGTGGGGGGTATGATGGTAATAGGGGGTTTGGTGTGTTATGTTTAGGGATGATGGGTGGGGTTTGTTATGGGGTGGGGGTTGTGGTGGTTGTGTGATATTTGTTTAATGGGGGGGTGAGATAGGGGGGATATAGGAGTATTGGTTGTAATTATAAGGAGAATTTGGGTGTTAGATGGAGGGGGGGGTGGGTGGGGTGTGTGTGGGGGGTTGGGGTGGTAGTGTGGGAAAGTAGATGAGGCGGAGTGGAGGTTGAATTATTTTATGTTAGAGAGGTTGGGGTTTAAATTTATGTTGGGGGTGATGTTGGTGATTGGAGTATATTAAATATAGGGGTTTATGGGGGGTGTGTTGGTATGGTGGGTTATTGGGGGGTGGGGGATGTAGGAGAGAGGTTAGGGAATGGTAAATAATGGAGGGGTTGGGGTGGGGGGGGGGGTGGGGTAATGATGGTGGGGATGGGTTAAGGGGTGTTAGGGGGGGGGGTGTGGGTGGGATGGGGGTGGTTGTGTGTATATTTGTGGGTTGGGGATGAATAATTTTTATAGGATGTAGGGGGGGGAGGAAGAATAGGGAGGAGGAGAGAGAAAGTAGTTAAGAAGGGGGGTGATATGATATAGGTTGGGGTTTATGGGTGAGGTTGGGTGAAGTGGATAATTGGAAGGTGAAGGGTTAGGATTAGGATATAGGGGATGAAGGGAAGAGGAGGGGGTGGAGAGATGATGTAATGGAAATTAGTGTTGTGGGGGGTGGGGGGTGAGGTGGGGGAGTTAAGTGGTTAGTGGGGGGAGTTAGTGGGGGGAAGAGAAGTAGGGGTGAGGGAGAGGGGGGAGAGAGAGTATTTGGGGAGAGTGAGAGGGAGTGAAGAGAGGGGTATGGGAGAGAGGGGTGAGAGTAGGTGAAAAGAGTAGAGGAGAGATAGAGGGAGATGATAGGAGAGGGAGATGATGATGATGGGGGTGTGAGAGGGATGTGAGAGGGGAAGGGGGTGTTTAGGGTGGTGTGGGTTTGGGAATAATTTTTATGGGTGGATGGGGAGGGAGGAATGTGAGGGGGGGGGGGGTAATTTTGGGGGGTGGGGGGTGGGGAGGTGAGGTGGGGGGGTGGGGTTGGGGGGGGGGGGGGTAGGTATTTTTGTTTGTGTGGGGGGGGGGGGGGTGGGGTATGGGGTTAATAGGGGGTTTAATGGGGGGTATTTAGGGGGGGGGTGAAGTGTGGGGTTGTTGTAGTGGGGAGAGGGGGATGAGTGTTGGTGGGGTGTGGGTATATGGGTTTAGGGTTATAGGAGATGGGGGTTTGGGGGAGGTGTGTGGGGTGGGGATTGGGGGGGGTGGGGTTTTGGTGTTAGATGTAAGTTAGAGGTAGATTGGGGTATATGTGTGAGGGATTGGAGTTGGTTTAGGGGGTTTAGGGGGGTGAGTAGTGATAAGGATTCCATATTTGGTATTGACAGGAGCAGTTAAAAAGGAAAGCAAGGAGTGACGGGGAGCTTCTTCTGCGCAGGGCTCCATGCATGATTGACGGGTCTCCCATGTATTGTTTTAATCGAGTTAATAAACGCATTATATGAATTTTTATTCTCGGCTCCTGTGAAAGTTCTTATTGACAATCAAAGTAAACCACTACAAATTGGCGTCACGGAAGCAGGTTAAAGAAGCCAAGAGAAGACTGGCACAATACCAACCGGCGGCCTCCGACGCAACGAACCCCCAAAAAGTGGCCACAAAATAAGGTAAGCAATTTTGCTTATATTTTTGGGTGTTTTTTGTACCGGAGGTTGCTAAAGTTGGTGTTGGTAAGTACCCTTTTTGGCTCTTTAAAAAGTCAACAGGCACGAATATTTACTAATATATGAATGTTTTGAATGTATGTGGTTAATGTTGTTATAGAAAAAGGAAGTAAAAAGAAACCCCGTGTTTGTGTGAGAAAAATAGAGCTTTTTGACCCAAAAATATAAGTAGGTTGAGCGATCTGTGAATCCGGAAAGGTCGTCCTAAATCAATAACAGGGTCTTTCTAACCCTGGGCTGATCACCTAGGGAAAAAGGGGGACAACTATCTGTTATTACGGTGCTCCGGGGTATGAGTTATGAGTTATGAGTTATGAGAAACGAAAAATGGCCATTCCCACACAAAGCGCTTTGTAAATAAGTTAAAAACCGGTTGGTGTATCTTTGTCCTGTCTTGTTATCGTGTATGCGTGTCAAATTATATTCCTGCGTGTTGATCTTATAGTGAAAAGTTTTTTAGCCATTATATACATTATTGTACAAGCAGATTAAATCTTTGTGTCGTTAATGTTGAAATCGAAAGGTTGGCTTGAACTTGATTGAAATTAACTTTGAATAACTGAAAAATTCCTTAAGCTGTTATTGAAATGAACTTACAGAAACTGTTGCTCTGTATCTCTCCGTGACTCTGCATCTCCATTTGGCTCTGTCCATCTGCCCCACACAGACACACACACACATAGACGGCCCCACCCTTTGCTCTCCCACTTCTCCTGTGCTCTGAGTAAAGCACGGAGGCGTAACTTTGAGCTGGGACTGCTCTTAGGGTTTTGTTGACGGTTTCAAAGGCTGTATTACCTAATTTTACACGATTTTAAAATATATTCTGTTGTCCAAACAAACCAGGTCTTGTTTAAACAGCATTTTTGAATTGCGGCAAGCTGTCATTGTTGTGCTGTGAAACATTTTGTCTCTAAATACTACCGACTGAGAGATTGTGGGTTGCTCCTAAACAGTACAATTTGCTTTTGAACTGATATTAAATCATATTATTATATTATATCTTTCATTGTTAAATTCACAACTCCCACTTAAATTTTGGCTTACACCCATATAGTATTATTGAAAGCAACCTAAGTAAACAATGAGGCGCTGTAAGATTGGGCGTGGCGGTAATGCCCCACAGCAGCAAATGCAAGCGCAAAGTTGTAACCCAGTAGAAATTCTAGGAAAAAAGTACCCGCTCTTGGCAGAGGAAATAAAAAGTTGCTCTGAGAAATGGCACAAAATTACGAAAGATCACGAGGCACCTTGGCCACCAGAGGGTACATTTGATTTGGAGAAGGCAAACGAAATGGAAATTTTAATTAAAACATACAAACCAAAGGACAAATCACAAAAACGAATACAAAAAAGGGAAAAACAATCTATGGTGTTAAAACTGTTTGAGGAATCAGGCAAAACTCTGTGGAGGGCATGCAAGCAACACGTTAACAAATTAGTCACAGCCAGAGATGAGACTACTAAGAAACAGTTGGCAAATCCTCCACCATACTCCGCTCAGATGCCTTTAAGAAAATTATCATTCAGTGGTGATTACATATTGAATAAATGTCTGATAAAAATGCATTGTACCCAGTTCTCACTGAAGGAAAGACACCTGTGGCGGAGCAGGGGTCGGAGGAGCTCCTCACCTGGAAGGGGAGGAAAGGGAGGAGAGCCAGTGGCTACAGCTATGATGTAAAAAGGTCTCTAAGAAGGGCAGAGGGGATAGATGGTGATTTAGAAGGGGATATAGAAGAGGAGGAAGTTAGTGAGAAAGAGGAAATCATCGAAAAGGTTTCACAAGAGCCTTCATTACTGGACATGAGCATAATAGAAATGGAGAAAGGGGCGAGTCAGAAGGAGATTAAACTGATCCCACCCTGGAAAAACATCTTGAAGAAACAAAGCACACTGACACGATCTCTGTCCAATGACCACGTCCTAACCGAAGAGGCCAACGACGCCGCACGTATTGAACCTCCGAGAAGATCTCGTATCTCATTCAACAACGGTCAAGGGGTCATACAGGAAAAAGGAATACTAAATGGAGAAGTGTCATTCGTTTCACAAGAACCAGCTGTCACATCAACTATATTGGAGGGATCAGAATATCCGCTGCTAGCACAAGGCAGGGATCTCCAGTACGTGCCCTGGGCCACTATGGACTTAGAAGGACTGATACAACGTCTGCCCTGCCTACATGATGGTGCATGTAAATGGATTGCGACTTTCGAAGAAGAGACCATTGCAAACATTATCGCCATGGGAGACATAAAGGCAATTTGGGGAAAGACTCTGGGAAAGAATGAGATGGAAGAAGTGTTATGCACTGCAAAACTGGAGCAGTATGTCAGAACCCAAGCCAATGATGGGGACATTTTCAACAGATATCGCAATCAGCTATGGACTGCACTGAGGGAAAAGTTTCCGGTCAGAATCCAGCCTGACAGCATCGTTACGGCACCCCTCAAAGAAGATGAAAGTCCCCAGGCGTACGTACATAACACACGAAAAGAGTGGATCAAGCAAACAGGTGCAAAACCGGAGGATGACATCTTCCATAGGACAGCCCTGAGGAAGCGGATAGTCGAAGGGCTGCCCGAGACGGCGCAAAGCAGACTGAATGAAGCAGTTGGACTGTACAACATGACATTTGAACAGTTTACTGACCATGTCGTTGATGCAGTGGCAAAAATGCGCAAAAAGCAGGCACGACAAAAGCAGGAGGATGAGGAGACCGTGAGGAAATTAACGCAGATACAACTGTCATCTGGGAAAAAGAAAATACAAGCCGTAGTGTCTGCTGATGTTGTACCACCAGTCCCTCAATTTCTGCCTCCAACACCGGCCCCAGCGCCGCAAGTGATTTATCTGCAAGCGGGGAATAGAGGGAGAGGCTACTCCCCTGGAAGAAGCCGAGGCAGAGGATGGAGAAGAGACCCCCCAAGATGTTATAACTGCGGACAACCCGGACATATGAAAATGAACTGCCGACAACCGCCGCGTCAGGATCCCTACTACGAGATCCAAGAACCGTATTCTGGCAGAACACCAGCAAGACGCCCTGTAAACTCATGGCAGGGACCACCTGCTGGTTACTAGGGATGCCTTGAGAATCCAGGGGAAGGTCATCAGCTGGCGGCAACATCAAGCCCTGATGAGGAACCAATGCTGCAGGTTCTACTAGCGGGAAAACCAGTCCAGATGATGGCAGACACAGGCGCAGCCTACACCTGCGTGGGGCAACCAGATTCCTGCCACCTTCCCAAGTCACAACAGTTTGTTCGCATTGTTGGATTCTCAGGGATCAAGCAGCTGACACCATTGTCCAACCCAGTGCCCCTGCATTTTCAAGGAAAGACTATTGAACTGCCAGTATTAATATCAGAGCAAACCCCGATAAACTTGTTGGGAAGAGATGCGTTATGTAAGCTGAACTGTGCTATTTTGTGCTCACCGGATGGAGTGATTGTGGAAGCATCACATTATCAAATGACATTAAACCCTGAAGAAGAAGTTGTGTATTGGTTGGGAAATCTTGATCAGACTTTAATGGAACCCACAAACACATGGATGGACTTTATAAAAGCAAATATGCCCCAGGCTTCACCACCTTCATGCCCTGCACATTGCACATTACAATTTTTTAGAGATAAGTCTGAAGCATGTCCAGAGGAGTGGCTCGGAAAACAGCCAGGTAGAGTCCAGATTAAGGCATATTCAATCATAATAGGGAAACAGGGAGCAGCAATGGTTGTTGAGAACAGTGCATATTTAGAAAAAGAGTTTAAGGTGAAGAACAGCCTTCCACATGTCACATTGTTAGTAAATCCAGACTATGAAGTTAAGCATTTGGGTCCTATGGTTCAGGAGGCAATGCAAGCTGATTATATGTGCACTGAAAACAAAAACATTTGGTTAAGCAAGGACAAGTTATATATCAAAGTAGACATCTCCTCATCGGGTTGGGCTCAGCCACAGGTTACCAGACTCCCGTGCCACTTGGAAAACTGTAAGCAACACTCAGAGTTCAAGGAAGAGATGTTATCTGTTGTACCACCTGAATTGTGGTCTAAACATGACACTGACGTAGGGCTTATTAAGACAGCACAGCCAGTTGAGGTTAAGCTCAAACCCGGGTGCAGACCCCCTTGGAGACCGCAATACCCCTTAAAACCAGAGGCCGAGGCTGGAATTGAAAAAACAATTCGAGGCCTTGTGGAGGCTGGAGTCCTGGTGGAAGAGCCAAACCCGTGCAGTAACACACCAATATTGCCAATATTAAAAGCAGACAAAAGTAAATACAGATTAGTACACGATTTGCGTGCCCTGAATGAAGTGATTGAGGATTGTCAGTCTGAGGTCCCAAACCCACACACACTGTTAACAAATGTGCCGCCTGATGCAAGGTGGTTCACTGTGGTTGATTTGTGCTCTGCATTTTTCAGCGTGCCATTAAGTCCCTCAAGCCAGCATTTATTTGCGTTCACATACAGAAATCAATCCTATACTTACCGCCAGGTACCACAAGGCCTAAAACTAAGTCCCCATATTTTCAATAAAATCTTGAGAGAAGATTTGGCAGAACTGTCAGGCAAAGTGTCCAGCACCATAATTAGCTATGTCGACGATATTATTTTGTGTGCACCTGATCTGGAAACGTGCCATAAAGATTCTGTGACTCTGCTGACCATGCTCGCAGAAAAAGGACATAAGGCGTCCTTGGGGAAATTGCAATATTGTCAAGACCAAGTTGAGTACTTGGGGAGATTGATAAGGGAGGGGTCCCGATCAGTCTCACCGGCCCAGCTCGAGGCTATATCACAGGCTCCTAGGCCAACAACAGTCAAAGAAATTATGACATTCTTAGGGATGACTGGTTATAGTTCAGAATGGGTTGAGGGATACTCCCTGGTTGTCCAGCCCCTGAGAAAAATGATTAAAGAACAGGGGGCTGGAAACCTGAGAGGAAAAGTGATCTGGACTCCAGAAGGTTATATGGCTTTTGATAGGATCAAGACTTTGTTGCAGCAGGTCCCAGCGCTAACCCTCCCAGACTATGAAAAACCATTCCAACTGTTTATTTCATGCCGACAAAATCATGCCTGTGGGGTGCTGACCCAGAAAACAAATGTGGGGACACACGCTCAACCTATTGCTTACTACTCTGTAGCATTGTCCCCAGTGGAAATGGGGCTACCTGAATGTTACCAGAATCTGGCAGCAGCCCACCTGCTATACGAAAAAGCGTCAGCGCTCACTATGGGTTATCCCATAGAAATAATGACACATCATAAATTGGTGAATCTACTTGAAAAGGGAAAGTTTGTGTTAATGGCACAAAGATTAACAGAGTATCATTTACTTGTAGATTATCCCGATGTGACAATCCGCGTGTGTAAGGTGAAAAATCTTGCGGACTCAATCCCACTACCGTTTGAGGGAGAGCCTCATGATTGTGTGACTGAATCAGAAAATTACACTAAGTTGCGGTCTGATTTGAATGCAACCCCTTTGGAGTCGGCAGACATGACATTGTTTGTGGATGGCTCCTGTTACAGAGATGGGGCGGCACTCAAAGCAGGGTATGCCATTGTAAGTATGGAAGGCAGCGCTATAAAAGTTGTCCAAACTGAAACCTGCCAGCAGCCGTGCTCTGCACAGTTAGCGGAACTGAAGGCCCTGACGAGCGCATGCGAGCTCGGAGAGGGTAAGAGAGTAAATATTTTTACTGATTCAGCATATGGACACGGTGTGTGCCATATTTTTGGTGCGGCATGGAAAGGAAGAGGTTTCAGGAAGACAGACGGCTCTCCAATCCACCACTGTAATCAGATAAAGAGATTGTTGACAGCCATGATGAAGCCAAAAGCAATAGCTATTGTAAAATGTGCGGCTCATCGCAAAGACAGCTCGTGGATCACGAGAGGCAATGCAGCAGCTGACGAGGCAGCCAAGCAAGCAGCTTCGGCAGGTGCTCATGCCATAATGGTAACTCACATGATAGACTTAGAAGAACAATTAACACACAAGGATCTACTGTTGTTACAAGAAGAGGTCTCAGAAGCAGAGCGACAGTTGTGGCTGCAGCGAGGTGCCTCTAAGGATTCGCAAGGACTTTGGAGAAACCATGAAGGGCTCTTTGCTGCACCCACCGGGTTATTGCCCCTGTTGATAAACGAGGCTCATGGGTTGGCTCATGAGTCGAGAGGAGAAGTGCTGCGGAAGATAAGGGAGTGGAACTTCTGGGCTCCAAAACTACAGCAGCACGTGGACGATGTAATTAGTCACTGTGAAATATGTCTAAAAAGTAACATTCGCAGGGGCATGACCCCACCCGCCGGTCACATTCCAACTCCTGAAGGACCATTTCAGCATGTAACCATTGATTATGTTGACATGATTCGACCAGTGCAAGGTAAACGGTACATGTTGGTTGTCATTGACAGATTTAGTAGATGGATTGAGGCCCTACCTGCAAAAAATAAGAATGCAGACACAGTGGCAAAGTTTTTGTGCAGGGAGGTTTTTCCTAGATTTGGGCTTCCCCGACGTATCAGCTCTGATAACGGCCGGGAATTTGTAGACAAAACCGTAAAATGTGTGTTGCAAAAGTTAGGAGTCAAGCAAAGGTTAGGATGTGTTTATCATCCTCAGAGTCAAGGAATGGTTGAAAGAGCGAATGGTATACTAAAAAACAAACTACTAAAAATTTGCATGAACACCGGCTTGAATTGGGTGGATGCACTGCCACTTGCCTTGATGGCCTATAGGGGGAGCGCCAATAGAAGCTTAAAACTAACCCCGCATGAAGCGCTCACTGGTCGGCCAATGCCATCACCGGTGTACAGAGCTGCTAAGGGCCCCCCTATTGACGTGTTAACAAATGACATGAAATCCTATGTGAAACAGTTGTCTAACATCCATAGGAGTATTTTTGCTCGTATTAACTCTGTGCAGAGCCAGACAAAGGAGGAGGAGGTGCCACCTGCAGTGAAGCCGGGGGACCTGGTCTATGTGAAAACCTTCCGACGGAAGTGGCATACTCCACGGAGGGAAGGTCCCTACGAGGTCGTGAACGCGACGTCAACGGCGGTGCAGGTGAAGGGATCGCCGACGTGGTACCACCTGAACCACTGCGTCAAGGCCCCGGTTGACGGCAACGAGGAAAAGACCATAAAGGAAAAGGAGAAGAATGACCATGGCTGCCAAGGCGACGAGTCCTTGGAAGGGGGGGACGAGGATCCTCGTGGTGCTGGTAATGACAATGATAGTACCGCTGAGTTCCCTGCCGTCATCCTGGTGGAAGGGACAGGAACTCCCACTGGCCGAGAGACATAGAAGAGCAATCGATAAATGGCCACTAGAAGACAATTGGTCGTACACAGACCCTAGTAGAACATACAAAGAAGACGTGAGCTGGACTGCCCAAATGCCCCTTATGATCTGGACTGATGACATGACCACGTTCAATGTTTATGTGAAAACTTCTGACTATCGACTGTGTGGGATCGGTTGGTCACTTGGGAGAAAGAAGATGATTAGGTCAACGTGGGGTGAAAGAGACTGTGGTATTGCCATAAAGGAAAAAGGTGATGTGTGGCTAGTACGGGTGGAATTTGACCCACTGAAAGGACAATTACCACAGACATACGTTGTGGGATGGACCAAGCTTTTCGTAGCTGGAATTGAGGAACGTGAAGTTAAATTGAACCCTCCGGGGTACAAAGACGAGACTGTTATAAAGATGGAGGAAAAAGACCACATGACTGTGGACCAAGGCATGCGGGTGGACTTACCCGCCAGCCCAGACAAAACAGGACAGAGTGACGGAACTCTACACACAGAACGTGGGACTGAACTTGCTTCTAGAGAGTCACCGATCCAGGAGAGACTGTTGAGGCCCTCAGAACTGGAAGAGGGGACACTATCCAGAGGGTCACCGATCCAGGAGAGACTGTTGAAGCCCTCAGAACTAGAGGACCGGACTGTGATAAAGGTGTCACCCATCCAAAAGAGACTGATGGACTCACCAGAACTGACTGACAAAACTGATGCTGGAGCCCAAATACAGCAGAAAAACCCTACCAACCTTGACATAGCTCGCCTAGCGGACAATCAGAATGATCAGGCAGACACTGACCTGACTGGACAGAGTAGGGCTGACCTGATAGTCCCGGATGGCCAAAACCGAAATCCTGACGTACTGGTGACTGACGTACGGAGAGACAACTCAATGGAGAAGCATGACGGGGATAGAATGAATTTAAAAACTGCAGAGATCAGTGACGTGGTTAAGACTAACCTAAATTGGACGGACTGGTTTCACAGGACGGTGGCCGGGATAGGACAGGCGGCTGGAGGTTTTGTTTCGAGAATTGGTGCAGGGCTAGGTGATGAGACCGAGGAGGTAGAGCCAGATAGACTACTAAATCGCGCAGAGTATAACAGCTGGTATCAGTGGGTTCAGTATGCAGGCCGGACGAATGGAATGACTGACTGCTACGTTTGTACAAAGGCAAGGGCCGATCCTTTGTTCCTTTTTAATACTGTGTTTAGTTGGAAGGAGTGTAGTGACACAGCAGTAAGAGAGAATGACCCGCTGCGCGTATGGTGTAAAGCGGAGTGCCTGTTGTATTTGGGAACCCCGCAGTACAAAGAGCAGGTTGAGTTTATCCACAAAGGTAAAACAAACACTCAGCGCTGTGCAGAGATAGACGTTAGAGTAAGCATGCAGAGCGCAAAAATGGGGACCCCGGGAGGTGTGGCATTCTTTCCTGTAGGCCGGTACGAGTGCATAGAAAAGACAGGGTCAGTAAGGTTGGGGGAAGTCAAGGCAACTAAGTGTAGTAGCATCTGGAATGTAAATGCCAACTGTAATAAGTCTACCCTGAAGCGAGCTGTCCAGATTAAGGGACCCCAATTGGAGACTGTGTATGTCCCTGCCTGCCCGTTCCATAGTCAGGTAACGCCTCTCTCCGATCACTTTTGGTGGTGTGGAGGCCAAGTACTGTTTCCTGTTCTTCCAGGCAACTGGTCCGGAAGATGCGCCAGAGTGCAGGTGGTGCAGGAGCTCATTGTTTTCCCACAGGGGGAGGAAACAAGTGATAGTAAGAGGGTGAAGAGGGCGTTCCGACCAGACCCTGGTGTGTATTTAGACAGTATTGGGCAGCCTAGAGGGATCCCAGAGGAGTTTAAGGCAAGATCTGAAATTAAGTCAGGGTTTGAATCCATTTTGCCCTGGATCTCCACAAATAAAAACACTGAGTGGATAAACTACATTTACTACAATTTCCAGCAGTTCATCAATTACACGGATAGTGCCATGTCAGCCCTGGGAGAGCAGTTGCATGCAACTAGTGCTGTAGCCTGGCAGAATAGACAGGCCTTAGACTGGGTTTTGGCAGAGACCTCAGGGGTCTGTGCCCTAGTGGGTGAATACTGTTGTACATTTATTCCCGATCATACAGGAGTAGGAGGAGCTTTCACACAGGCAATGGGGAAAATCAAGGCTCTAAGGTTAGAGATGAAGAAGAATGCTGGAAGGGATGCAGAGTTGGACTGGCTGAGCTGGCTACAGCAGACTTTAGGATCATGGAAACTGGGGTTGGTGAAGATTGGAGTACCAGTTATTATTTGCATTGTGGCAATAGGTCTTGTCCTCTGCTGTTGCATTCCGGTATTGAGAGCAGTAGTGGTGCGAGGGGTAACAAGACAGATGTTAGTGCTGAATGTGGAGAGCAAGAGTAGCCGACCAGAGCAGTTCCCCATCAAGGACTGGTTAGCGGAGGACGACTCGTTGGACGATGAAAAGACCATGGACTGTGACAGTATACCTACTTTTTGACCACTCGTCCATCTTAAGTTCATGTTTAATCAAAATAATGTACAATGCAAGTGCGAGCCAAGTTCTGCCAACGCCTACACTCAAGAGTGATATTGTTTTGTATCATGTATCTGTGTTTGAAAGTTATGTTATCTCATTTACTCTCATTTACTAAGTGTTTGACATTATTGTGTAACTCATGTAACTACTTTGCTAAGGCTGAGGAAAAGTTAGTGAAGGAACTTAATTCATGGCTGGGAGCCATGAAAGGGGGGGAAATATGTGGTAGAATGTTTGACAAATATTATGATTTCCTAAGTGCAATGGAATGTTCTTTTGGGATATGTTTAGGAAGCGCTGGGTCGGCCTGACCTGAACACTGTCTGTTGACCGGTAAAGAATTCTGTTTGGTAATAGTCATAAAGGAAACATCTGGATCCTGTTATTCGGTCGCAGCTAAGATTCCATGCCAGGATTCCATATTTGGTATTGACAGGAGCAGTTAAAAAGGAAAGCAAGGAGTGACGGGGAGCTTCTTCTGCGCAGAGCTCCATGCATGATTGACGGGTCTCCCATGTATTGTTAATCGAGTTAATAAACGCATTATATGAATTTTATTCTCGGCTCCTGTGAAAGTTCTTATTGACAATCAAAGTAAACCACTACATGTGTGTGTGTGTTTCTGTGTGTGTCTCTCTGTGTTTGTGTGTGTGTGTCTCTATCTGTGTTTGTCTCTCTGTGTGTGTGTGTGCTTATGTGTGTGCGTGTGCATGTGTGTCTGTCTGTGTGTTTATCTCTATGTGTGTTTGTCTGTGTGTGTGTGTGTGCGTGTCTCTGTGTGTGTATGTGTGCATGTGTGTGTGTGTCTCTGTCTGTGTGTGTGCGTGTGTTAGAAAATATATATTTATATCAAAAAAAGTCAAGTATCAGTGTCAGTATCATCAACACCAACATTATTTAATCTGATTTAAATGTATGTTTTATAAGTGTGTCTCTGTGTGTGTGTGTCTGTGTCTAAGATGCATTAAAAACCACATGATTGGACCTTCTTGCTGAAAACCTACCTCATATCTCCACAGAAATGGGCAGAAACAGAGGAAAGGAGAAACGACTCTTTGTATATGATTGTATATTATGGCAATTTATTTTTCTCTCATCAAATACAGTTTACCACAAAGACACGTCTAAATTGAAATGACGACTGAGGTGTGTGTCCTTGACTCGATGGGTATTCTTACAGCGTCTAAACCCAGAGCGATACTTCAAGTGACTGGTGTGATCAAACATTAATAAGGTCAGTAAGAGCAGTCAAATTGATGGCGTTGTTTCAGCGAGAGTGTGTCGCTCTGAACGTGTGAAAAGTTCAATATTTCATCGTCTGACTGAACGGTAAAAGCTGGCGTTTGCTTGAGACACTGACGCTACATGACAGAGCTGGTGTGAAGACATATGTATTTAAACTTCAGCTACAAAAACACGCAGACTGAAAGATAGCAAAAACTGAATCTGAGTGAAGCTTATTCAACTATTTATATGACTTACGAATACTACTTAGTAACTTATACTACTGTAACCTGTGACATGTGAACCTTGGGGGTGGAAACATCAGCTTTCGGGGATTATATTCTGCAAAGTGACGGAGAGGATTGATCCGAGTGGAGGAGAGAATGAATGGGGGGCATAAACTGTGATATTTGGAGTGAAAACCTCCACATCTCAAATACTATTTCAACAACACATCATCAGAAGGCAATGCCAACCTGTCCCACGGCGGTCTGATCTTGGTGAATTCTGCTTCACAATGATAGAAAGAGCCAACATCAAAGGATTACACAGCTTTGAAGATACTTCTTGAGATCTGCAGGAGGAATGGGCCAAAATACCAGCAACAGTGTGAAAACAGTTGTGAAGATTTAAAGACACCAATAGCCAAGTATTGGTCCTTGTAAGGGGAGAGTACAACAATGGAGTTACTTAAAACCTCTTTACTCCTACAGCTCCTACATCTGTTTTGGCTCGTGCACAAAAGTTTGGCAAAATGTCTTTGCTTATTTAAAAACACATCTTACATCTCACATGCTTGTGTGATGCATCATTTTAAAGCTAGGCCCTTCTAGTTTATGTAAATATACACTGGAATAATGTATGTCATTCCTATTTCACTCTGCATCCTTTGAAGTTTGGGAAAAAAACCTGTTTTTTGTTTTTGCCTTGCCTAAAAAATGCAATGTATAAATGCCCTAAAAAAGCCTACTTCATTGGAAGAAGAACATTTTCAACGCTAATATGTTCATTGTGTTGTTGACAACAACTGTGTAAAGTTTCACACTTCTAAGTTTTATAGTTTTTATGCAGTTTCTCTTTTTTTATCAAGTAGTGCCATTCGGAACCAATTTGGCAAAATGTGTGCCAAATTGTGCCAAACTACTTTACTAACATTTCACCATCACAAAAAGCATATTTTTTAGTTTTGGTACTTACAAGTTACAAATCTGTGTGATTTTCTTGTACATTTTTTCAAAATTATTTTTTTAGTAGTGTAAATGCATATAAAATATGCGCAGCAGTACTAACAGTGTCTTTACGCACGCTTTTACTGTGAAAATGAAAAGAGTTCCTACAAGTCCCGCCCATCAAAAGAAAGGTCTTTTTATTGGCTACTTAGACACGTCAATCATTCAGTGCTAGCACATAGCGCTATCCTGTAATCAACAACAAGGCAAAAACGGACCCTGTGCAAATGGATGTGGTTTGTCTTATTCACGAGGGTCCTGCGGACTGAAACCTGCTCCTATCTTTTCATGGAACCTCTCTTTTTGAAGCTAAGGACTCAAGGAACACGTGGATATGATGTTTGTGGCTAAACAAAGCTCAAACTTGGTGAAATGTGAAAGAGAAGCCTGAACATCTTTCGGAGCGTTTTTTTTGCAACAGAAAAATGCACATTTTTGGATTATTTCTGAAGAATGGATTATACTTTGGGAAATACAAGTGGATATTCTTTTTCACTGAAGACTTACGGAGAGAAAGAGACTGAGCAAGGATGGAGAAAGTCTAATTTGTTGGAGCTGCAGAAGACAAAAGGTAAGAAACTTATACAAACGCAATTTATGTTGTGCCCATTTTATGTGTTATATCTTTTTAATGCAACGTCTGATATCGTTTACACTTATATATAAATATAGCTGAGAAAATAAGCTTTAAAATGATTTGAGTTCAAAAATGAGTTCAAAAAAGCAATTCTTGGGTTTCATTAAACTGGCCTGTAGGGGGCGCATGAGCAGAGGTGGACAGTGTTGCTCCCATTGAAAACCATGTAAAGTCTGTTTTGGAGTCAAAGGCTCTCCTCCTGTGCGGTGTACGGTTGTTGGAACAGTCTTAATCTGGGACACTCAATTCTAAGGGAGTACTAACAAATATTTCTCAAAAGAGTCTTGATTTCGGGCATTTTTGGAAAGAAAAACAGAAGAAATTGCTGCGTTTCATTGGGGTGGCCTGCAGGGGGCGCTTATCTGGGAAAGCCTTGATCCACCTCGCCCGCCTCATTCCAGTGATTTTTTTCAAAGTGTCCTCCTTTATATGAGACACAGTTGGAACATGAACAAACTCTGGTCTTTCTCTCTATTTGTGCGGTTGTTAAAAAAGTACAGCGCACAGAAAGATGGCTTTTGACAGCAATTATTCTACTATATCTCCGAGTATAAACCGCTTCTTCTTCTACTATATCTCCGAGTATAAACCGCTTCTTCTTCTACTATATCTCCGAGTATAAACCGCTTCTTCTTCTACTATATCTCCGAGTATAAACCGCTTCTTCTTCTACTATATCTCTGAGTATAAACCGCTTCTTCTTCTACTATATCTCTGAGTATAAACCGCTTCTTCTTCTACTATATCTCCGAGTATAAAGCAGACTGCACCGCCAGGATACGTCACGTCCTGTCCTACGCTTGTTATTCACGCCACTGCCCTGACGTCATATGAAACCCAAGAATTGGCCTGACCGAAACATTAGATTTTCCAATAAAAAATGCAAAAACAGCATTTTTTTTTTCTGGCACATTGGGGAAAAAAGGGCAAAATAAGGTCTGAATAAGGATTGGGCAGACGTTTTTTTACAATTGAGTATTTTGTAAGCTTTTGCAAACTGTTGTTTTTTAAATGATTAACTGATCATGTTCCACCGCTGTTCTCTGGTCTGTCAGACGTCAAGGCTCTCGAAGGCCCAACACCAGAGCCTTGGTCAGTAGGGACTGTCTGGTTCCTAACACCAGAGCCTCGGTCACTGGGGACTGTCTGGTTCCTAACACCAGAGCCTCGGTCACTGGGGACTGTCTGGTTCCTAACACCAGAGCCTCGGTCAGTAGGGACTGTCTGGTTCCTAAGACCAGAGCCTCGGTCAGTAGGGACTGTCTGGTTCCTAACACCAGAGCCTCGGTCAGTGGGGACTGTCTGGTTCCTAACACCAGAGCCTCGGTCAGTGGGGACTGCCTGGTTCCTAAGACCAGAGCCTCGGTCAGTGGGGACTGCCTGGTTCCTAAGACCAGAGCCTCGGTCAGTGGGGACTGCCTGGTTCCTAAGACCAGAGCCTCAGTCAGTGGGGACTGCCTGGTTCCTAAGACCAGAGCCTCGGTCAGTGGGGACTGCCTGGTACGTCTGAAACTGTGGCTGAAATCGGAGCAACGTAGTTCACATGATTAATGAACTGTATATTTAATAACTTTTATATTTGTAAAACCCGCCTCATTTTGGCTCGTGCACCAAAGTTGGGCATACCCAAATGCAGCCAGCGTAAGTTCAATTTGGTAGACGTCAGCCAAAGGTAACCCCTCCAGGCCGGTTCTCATCCCCAGCCTATCGCACGGCAAACGCCCCCTTCCAATCACCGGTCCAGCCAGGCAAGCTGCTTAAAAGCGGAGGAACTCCCATTCTCGGCCTCTTGAAGCCTGCAGCAAAGAGCGAAGCCTTGCAAAGAGTCGTTCTGGAGGAATCGCTTTGTTCTACTCTCACTTACTTCGTGCGTGTCCCTGCTGTCCTCTGTCCTGCTGCGTGTGGTCTGCTCCTCCTCCACGTCGCTGCACCTGCTGCGGGTCTCGTGCTGTGGTCCGTGGGTCTTTGCCGCTCTCCTCCTTTGCGGGCTCTTTCTGCGGGTTCGCCGCTGCTCGTCTCGTCGCGGCCTGCTGCTGCATACGGCCGGTCTGGCCCGGTGCGGTGGGAGCCGTGCGCATCCCTGCCTCCTCGTGCCGGTACGGTGTGGTCCCGTCGTGTTGTCCCTTGTCTTCTGGCGTTGCGGGTAAGTATGAGATCTGCGGACGGTTTATTCCCCTCGCATTGTCCTACAGGCTCAGTTGGCCCCGCGCTTGTACTGCAGGCTCAGTTGGCCCCGTGCATTGGTGGGCAAGCATCAGTTTAAAGCCCTCGCATTGGTCTGCAGGCTCTCTTTAACCAAGCTCCGTTTAAATCCTTCACTCTGACTGCAAGCTCCGTTTAATCCCTCAAATTGGACTGCGAGCTCTCAGTTTAATCCCTCACGGAACTGCTTATATCTGGAACTGCTTACGTATAATGGAACTGCTTACGTATTGTGGAACTGCTTAGGTATTATGGAACTGCTTATGTATTACGGAACTGCTTATGTATTATGGAACTGCTTATGTATTATGGAACTGCTTTTATGGAACTGCTCATATTGGGACTGCTCATACCTGGAACTGATTATATGGTACTGCTTATACCTGGAACCGCTTATACAGTGCATGGAACTGCATATATTGGTTCTGCTTATATCTGGACCTGCTTATATATGGATCTGCTTATATATGGATCTGCTTATATACGGAACTGCTTATACATGGATCTGCTAATATATGGAACTGCTAATATATGGAACTGCTAATATATGGAACTGCTAATATATGGAACTGCTAATATATGGAACTGCTAATATATGGATCTGCTAATATATGGATCTGCTAATATATGGATCTGCTAATATATGGAACTGCTAATATATGGAACTGCTAATATATGGATCTGCTAATATATGGATCTGCTAATATATGGAATTGCTAATATATGGATCTGCTAATATATGGAACTGCTAATATATGGAACTGCTAATATATGGAACTGCTAATATATGGAACTGCTAATATATGGAACTGCTAATATATTGGAACTGCTCATATTGGAACTGCTCATATTGGAACTGCTCATACCGGAACTGCTCATATTGGAACTGCTCATGCAGTATATGGAACTGCATATATTGGTACTGCTTATATCTGGAACCGTATATATATGGAGCTGCTTGTATATGGAACTGCTTGTATATGGAACTGCTTGTATATGGTACTGCTTATATATGGAACTGCTTGTATATGGAACTGCTTGTATATGGAACTGCTTGTATATGGAACTGCTTGTATATGGAACTGCTTGTATATGGAACTGCTTGTATATGGAACTGCTTGTAGATGGAACTGCTTGTAGATGGAACTGCTTGTAGATGGAACTGCTTGTATATGGAACTGCTTGTATATGGAACTGCTTATATCTGGCTCCGTCTCCTCCCTCAACGACGCTGTCTGCCCGGACGCGGGGTGCCGCTCCGACCTGGCATTCGGGTCCCGTCTGCTGAGCCGCTGGGACGGTGTATTTTTTTTTACAGTGACGTCATCCCGTCCTCAGATGCCCTGCGGTTCTTCACGGACGCAGCCCCGTCCGTGGGTTTTGGGGGTCTCTTCCAGGTCCAGTGGTTCGCCGGGCCCTGGCCCGACGCCTTCCCTCAAAGCATCTCCTCCGCGCTCCCGATAACCTTCCAATGTCATCCGTCTGTTTCAGAGCCCAACTCAAGTCCGTACTGCTGCTTGTAACCTGTCTCCCCATCTCTACACAGCCCACTCCTTCGGATAGGCGCCGCCACGCGCGCCGCGTCCCTTGGGCTCCCCTATTCCGCCCTCCAGCAGCTGGGCCGCTGGTCATCATCGGCCCTCTCCTCATACATCAGGCCTGACACTTCGACCATCCTGGCAGCCCAGCGCCTCTTTGCATCTCCATAAAACACTTGCAAAACTTCCTGGTGGCGGCAGCAGCTGAGTATCCGCAAGCATGTGGTCGCAGCAGCTGAGTATCCGCAAGCATGGTCGCAGCAGCTGAGTATCCGCAAGCAATGGTCGCAGCAGCTGAGTATCCGCAAGCAATGGTCGCCCGCAGAGACTGTTCGGCAGAGACTGTTCGGCAGAGACTGTTCGGCAGAGACTGTTCGGCAGAGACTGTTCGGCAGAGACTGTTCGGCAGAGACTGCTCGGCAGAGACTGCTCGGCAGAGACTGCTCGGCAGAGACTGCTCGGCAGAGACTGCTCGGCAGAGACTGCTCGGATGAGGATCCGCAAGTTTGGTCACAATAGATAGCGGTCACAGCATATAGTGATAGCGGTCACAGTATATAGCAAAAAATGGGTAGCGGTCACAGTATATAGCGATAGCGGTCACAGTATATAGCAAAAAAAAAATGGTTAGCGGTCACAGTATATAGCAAAAAATGGTTAGCGGTCACAGTATATAGCAAAAATGGTTAGCGGTCACAGTATATAGCAAAAAATGGTTAGCGCGCGATGGTCGCGACTCGTCAGTATATAGCGATAGCGGTCACAGTATATAGCGATAGCGGTCACAGTATATAGCGATAGCGGTCACAGTATATAGCGATAGCGGTCACAGTATATAGCGATAGCGGTCACAGTATATAGCGATAGCGGTCACAGTATATAGCGATAGCGGTCACAGTATATAGCGATAGCGGTCACAGTATATAGCGATAGCGGTCACAGCATATAGCGATAGCGGTCACAGCATAGAGTAGTCTCGACGTCTGTCCCCTTCAAACCAGGCTGCAAAACTCCATCAACTCACAACTTTTTGGGGATTGGCATGCTCCATCGCAGAGCCCCTCCGATCTGAAGGCCGCACCGGGGCCTAGGGCGCCAAACCTCCTCCCAATAAATACTCAAAAGCTTCTTGTTTCACGTCTCTCCAAATTGAAATGCAGCCAGCGTAAGTTCAATTTGGTAGACGTCAGCCAAAAGTAACCCCTCCAGGCCGGTTCTCATCCCCAGCCTATCGCACGGCAAACGCCCCCTTCCAATCACCGGTCCAGCCAGGCAAGCTGCTTAAAAGCGGAGGAACTCCCATTCTCGGCCTCTTGAAGCCTGCAGCCACCGCCTCCCCTCCTCCTCCTCTTCACCCTGCTTCATTCTGCCTTCAATCTGTTCCCGCTGCCAAATGCCGCCACCAGTGCCTAGGTCCCGGGGGATTGGCATGCTCCCTCGCAGAGCCCCTCCGATCTGAAGGCCGCACCGGGGCCTAGGGCGCCAAACCTCCTCCCAATAAATACTCAAAAGCTTCTTGTTTCACGTCTCTCCAAATTGAAATGTCTTTGCTTATTTAAAAACACATCTTACATCTCACATGCTTGTGTGATGCATCATTTTAAAGCTAGAGCCTTATAGTTTATGTAAAAAAACACTAAAATAATGTTTGTCATTCCTATTTCCCTCTGCATCCTTTGAAGTTTGGGAAAAAAAACCCATTTTTTAGCCTCGCCTAACATTTTCAATTTCTAAAGGCCCTAAAAAAGGCATACTTCATTGTAAATTCACAATATTCAAACCCTGTGGTCATTGTGTTGTTGACAACAACTGTCTAAAGTTTCAGACTTCTAAGTTTTATAGTTTTTATGCAGTTTCTCCTTTTCATCAAGTAGTGCACATTTGGCACAATTTGGCACAAGTGTGCCAAATTGTGCCAAATATCTTTACTTACATTTAATCATCATAAAAACAATATTTTTTATTATTGGTACTTCTAAGTTACTAATCTATGTGTGTTTTTTTTTTTAAATGTCAAAGTTATTTGTGTAAATTCATTGCAGCTTCGAGAGCGTCTTTTGGCTGCCATTACGCACAATTGTACAGGCACAACATAAGACAGGACACCATTGTCCCACCCCTTGCTCGAAAGCTTTCCTCATTGGCTACAAGGACATGTCAATCGAAAATCCCGGAAATAGAAGCAAACAAGAAGGGAAGACAACAAAGATCAGTGATCCATGCGCAAACAGCAGCACTAGCTGTACTCACGGGACCTCTTGCAGACTCAAAAATTGGTCTAGCTTTTTCGGGAGTAGTCTCATTTGAAAGATAAGGAGCTAAGGAACACGTAGATACCAGATGTTTGGGTGAAAAACAAAGCTAAAAGTCCGTTAAAAGTGAAAAAGCAACATCTGTGCTCGTTTTTTTCGCTAAAGATAAATGCACATTTTTGGATTATTTCTGCAGAATGGATTTTACTTTGGGAAATACAAGTGGATATAATTTTCCTTTGGACTGTTCCAGAGAGAATGATGTATTGCAAGCTGGGAGGAGAGCTGATTTATTTGTACAGCACAAGCCCAAAGGTAAAAAACTATTTCGGAATTGAATTATTTTGTGCTCACATTATGTGTTATATCTGATGTAGTTTACACTTATATATAAATGTAGATAAGAAAATAAGCTTTAAAATGATATACAGCTTTTGGGGTTTGGTGTTCAAAATACATCTGCTATTGCCAGCAGAACATTTAAAAACATAAAAACGGCACGCCGGCGCGCCGGTTGCTGTAAAGA